TTTTGTCTTTCTCGTGGTTGTCGTTGTCTGCTGCTTGGGTAACTGTTCACAACATCTACAAGAACCCAAGGGGCTCACTGGAGGTGACTCAATTATTCACTTCGGCAGCTGATCACGCCACACTCATAGGAGGGGATTTCAACGCACATCATCCCTTCCTAAGCTCGGTAAGAAGACGGCCTACACCTATACACCACCTTTTAAGACACACCCGAGATCTGCCTCCTGAACACCGGAGAGCCCACCCACATTAGGGGAGGAAGGCTAGATCTAACCTTTGTCTCCAGTGCACTACAGCCTTCGGCCTCCTGGCAGCTACACCCCATGCTGACCAGCGACCACTTCGCCACCCTAACAACGCTGAAGGTGAACAAACTCCCCACTCCAACCCCGCAGAGATGGAGATACAATACCCAAAAGGCAGACTGGGGACTCTTTAAGAAACACCTGGCTAAGTGGCGCGAAAAATCACAGCCGGCCGGCGCAGCACCCGTGGATGAGACAACCCTCCACCAACAATTGGTCGAGGCGTTTCACCTCCCTTGGCAAGATGTGGGCCCAGATCCGAAGGGCATCTGGGAAGGCAACACCACCACCACCAACCCATCCCAACCCAGAAGAGGAAGCCGAGAGACGTGCAAAACTGTTCTCTGACCGAGCAGAAACGAAAAACCTCCCGAGACAGGCGGAGGAAACACAACGGCGTCTGCGACAGGTCAGACTCCAGATGATCGAACAGGTCTGCAACGGTGAAGATGACACCGACAGACGTTTCAACCAGCAAGAACTCCAGAAGTCGCTAAAACGAAGCAAGGACACAGCTCCAGGGGCCGACAGGATAACCTACTCCATGCTTTCTCATGCCGGTATAGCCGGACACGAGGCTCTGCTACAAGACATCAATGCTTCGTGGACAGCACAAAGACTTCCACCGGAATGGAAGAAGGCAGATATACAGCCGATTCCGAAGCCCAGAGAACCAGACAAACTGAGACCCATCTCCCTTCTCAGCTGCATAGCGAAGACGGGAGAAAGAATGGCTCTCAACCGACTCAAATGAAAAGTAGGCAGCCCACACCCTCACATTTTTGCTTACACCGAGAACAGCGGCACAGGCAACAACATCGCCGAGATTCTCAGCACAGTAGACTACAAACCAGCTCTGGTGGTCTTCTTCGACCTGGAGAAGGCCTTCGAACTGGCAAATCCACTGGCCATTACAACGACGCTCGCTGAAAACGGCGTCAAAGGAAGGTTGCTAGGGTGGATCCAGAACTACCTCACACAGAGAGAAGCAAGAGTACGCTTTCAGGGAGCAACCTCAAGCTATACAGGGTCCATGAAAACGGAACCCCACAAGGAGGCATCCTCAGTACAATGCTGTTCAATGTCCTGATGGAAAATCTTGTCAAACTTCCTTTCAGACAAACAGCCAAGCTCCTGTGCTATGCAGACGACTTACAGCTTATAGTAAGAGGATCAAACAGACTAGCCAACACGCAACACGCACTCCAACTTATAGAAGAAGAGTGCAACAGACTTGGACTCAAGATAAATCCAGCCAAGTCGAAAGCGATGGCCATCTGCACAGACACACCAGACAAGATGCTCTCCATACAAAACACGCCGGTAGTCTGGACCAACACCCACCAGTGTCTTGGAATCTGGTTTGACCAGAAACTCACTTTCAAGCCGCAACTCGAGTATCTAAGGCACAGGACGAAGAGCAGACACAATATAATGAGGTCGCTCACCAGCACAACCGCAGGAACAAACTTTCATGTGCTCAAAGCCTACTACACGGCCGCCACCAGATCGCTGGTAGATTACAGCGCTCCAGCACTCATTGGACTGAGAGAAGACCAGAAAGCTAAGCTAGAAGTTATCCAAAATAATGCTCTCAGGACCATGCTCGGAGCACCCATGTGGACCAGAATTTGCAATTTGCAAATGGAAACTGAACTACCACCCCTGGCAGTACGAGTCAAGCAGCTGACAGCCGGTCTCCTCGCCAAAATCTGTAGATCAGATAAGCCCACAGCTGCCAAAACGCGAATCAGTGCCTCCCTCCACCTCGACCACAGAGTGCGAGGGGCCACCTGGTCGCACGAGGCAAGCGAGGTCATCCGACACCTGCAAGCAGAAACACTCGTCAAGAACAACCAAGACACACAAGACAATGGTTACGTTGTTCCTCCACCATGGAGCCCTCCACCAGCCACACTCAAAATTTCCGACTAGGTGATAGCAAAGCCAACCTCCAGAAGGAGGACCTCAAAAAAATAACTCTGGAAGCCATAGACACCGAGACACCGGCTGATGCAGCATCATACTTCACAGACGGCTCGGTGGACCCAAAACATCATAGATCCGGAGCGGCCTTCTACACCCAAGGTCAGACCCTCCGATGGAGACTTTCTAATGACTGCTCCACCTTACAAACAGAGCTGGTAGCAATCTCAAAGGCCCTACAACACGCTGCAACACAACACAACAAGTCTATCAACCAAGAGACAACGTTGACATCATAACCTCGATCCTCGCACAGCTACAGAAATTCCAAAGACAAACCCGCCCAGTCGTCTTACACTGAATTCCCAGTCATGTAGGGATCGGGGGAAACGACGTGGCAGACCAAGCAGCCAAGGCAGCCACACGTTCTAGAAGCGTACACATTCAAGTTCCTGCAAGCGTGCAACAGATCAAGAATCACCTCAGAAAGACTAGCAAGCTCCACATCCAAAAGAGCTTCCTTCACGCATTCAACGCTGGTTCCCAATCAGCCAAATGGTACCTGGCAGCTACAAAAGGGGAACCACCTTTCGCGGAGAAGAAAACACCAAGACAAACCCAAGTCAGCCTTCATCGACTACGACTAGGGTACAAGTGCTCCTGGCAGATGATCGGAAATGACGTCATGGAATGCATCTACTGTCTGGAGCCAGCAGCCAACCAACTTGAACACTATCTCCTCGCCTGCGAAGTCACACAAAGTCTCCGAAACAGAACTCAAAACTTCCAAGAAGCACACACAACACCAGCGGCTACTCTAACCCGAAAGGCCCAAACAAACCACATTCACCACCTTCTCCGGGTCATCACACGATACCCACCACCCAGATAGCTTAGAAAGTATCCTCTCCCAGCAAGTGCGGACCCCAGTTCGGGGGGCGCGCCACTCCGAAACTGACCACGTCCAAGAGTGGGGGTTGGTGGTAAGCGTCCACTGATCGGGGGTCTGCTCACAATTGCAACCTGCAGTATCCTTCCAAATCTGCAGGTAGGATAACCTCCAATCCCAATTTGGTCTGGCTGCTCCAGGAGCTCTAGCCGGAACCACCAAACGGGCCGCCTATAGGCAAAGGCCTGTGTCGGACTACGGTCCGACAATCTCAACAACAACAACAGCCGTGAAGGCATTCGCCAGCCAGCCTTCGCCGTGAACGGAACCGCTCTTCAGACCCCTCACCGCCAAGCAGCCAGCCTTCTTTCTACTGTTCACACTCTACTCCACGCTCCCGAACCCACAAGACCTCTCAACAAGCTTTACTGCTGGACCCGGAGCTGTGAAGACCGTTCTCTCTCTGCTGCCATTGTTGGCCAACTTTCCTGGCCGGACCATCCATCACTGATATCGTCGACAACATCTCACAAGCGTTTTCGGTTTATCGAGCATTAGTTTGCCCTCTCCACTGGTGGTGTGAGTAACCCACACTCCAGCTGGAGAGCAGCTATAGCGCAATATTCCCAACGTGGTTTGAGCTCTTTTCCTTCTACTACTATTTTTCCTTTTTTCGCTCTGTCCTAGGGACCTGCACCCTCAAAAGTGTATTCGTCCTGCGGTCCCCCCTGTAACTGTTCACCTCCAAGAGATTGTGAACACGAAAGGGGGTTGGAGCAAGAACCCATCCCAGCCGAGTCTTTCCAGGAAAACCATGATCGTGTGGGTCCACCTGGAAAGAGGGTAGGGATCCTCATCCTTACCCAATAGGCACCCTTAGCTCACTTCTATGAGTGAGCAGTCACATACACTAGGGAGTAGGTTTCCCCAAACGGGGCTCCGGGCGAGAAGCTCAGGAACCACTCTACGACCACCAGGCCATCAAGTGCCTGTGGGGAGTGTTTAAATTCCAACAACAACAACAGGTGACCTACCTCTTACTACCCACAGCCACCAGCAAGCAACACCTCCTCCTCCTCCTCCTCCTCCTCCTCCTCCTCTCCTGCCTGGCGGCCCTCGCTCCCGCCGGCGACCCACAAGCTGGTCCTCCTCTGAGCACCCTCACCAACCAGCTCTCTCTACTCAACTCTTGTAACCATGCTGCCTTCCCAGCACCAAGCTTCATTGTACATCCAATACAATATGCATACATTGTGAGTTTCTTTTCTCCATCCCACCCTGAGTGTGAACCAATATCTCGAATCCCCACAATACCCTGCAATTGTGTAAAATTGTTTCTCACTTTTGATCTTTTTTTTCATTTTTGTATTTATTATTAGTATTATTAGTGTTATTATTATTATTATTATTATTATCATTATTAATTATTTTATTTTCAATTTTGTATTTTTCATTATAGATTTTATTTACTATGAATTATTATTATTACATTTTCGCCACCTAAGTCCCGATATGGGTCAGTGACCTGTGCCCTGGTGGAATAATCCTCGTAAAAAAAAAGTCAGATCATCAACCTTGAACTTGGTCAAAATTTTTGTGATGTCGTATGGCAGCAGGGTCTACTGTTAGACAACACTTTATGGTTCCATTGGAAGCATAAAGATATTGGAAGCCTTCCAATATCTTCCCAGGCGGTAGTACCTCCCTGTTTGATAGCTGCCTTCTGCCTACTACCTAGTAAAGTGATTAATAGGCTATAGTAAATTCTACATTTCACGGTCGATTACTACATTTCTCAGTATAAATATATTATGCACCTGGAAACTCAAGCTCTGTCCTCTGCAGGCCCGCCAACTGTTCTAAAGTTTCTCAGGGCGTGTTTTCCGTGTTCGTTACATTCATCCAAAATTGCGTAGATAGTTTTGTCGCTCACTGTACCTTAAACTCGCATCAAGAGACAGTTGTTACCAGAAGGTTTTACTTGGCTAATGAACGCCGAGTATAAATAGACAGGGGCTTAAGGCATTTCTATGGTGTGACAGCTTGGTTAATGACGGGGAATCCCAACTCCTCCACCATTGTGTTGCGTTGATCCGTCGACCTTGTATAAATGCATAATCCGCACCTGCAGTCTGCAACAACGCTCGAGATTCTTTAGTCTACGTCAGTCCTGCTCGTCGTCACACCAGTAACCTCCTGCTCGTCGTCACACCAGTAACCTCCTGCTGACTGATCTTTGTTCACTGGTAAAGTGCTTGTGTCCGTTTCTGTGAGTACTGTTGTAGTGTACTGTATGTGGCCAGTTGTCAATTCTCTTTGGTTGTCTATTATCTCTTTGTATGGGCTCACATACGTACGTACATGTACGATATCTCATACTCGGGATTGAGGTAGAATAGAAACTCACAATCCGTTATATATATATATATATATATATATATATATATATATATATATATATATATATATATATATATATATATATATATATATATATATATATATATATATATATATATATATTTTTTTTTTTTTTTTTTCCATGTAGATCCACAATGAAAACGTGGGTAAGATAAATCTTGATAAAATCACACGGGAAAAGGGAAACAACGGCCCACACCGGGGAACGCTACTTCTAGACCACCAGGATACTATAAACAGTCCTTGATTCTGTTCAACGAGCTTATGGCGCCGTGAACCTCTAATGGGGCTCTGCACTGGGGAGGGGAAGTCTCCCTCTGGGGAGGAGCTGTCGGCCCCTTCCCTGTTACAATATTAATCCGAATGCTGATGCCTCTGAGAGGGAGCTGCAAGGCCTTATAAGCCTATTGGCGGTGACGAGCCGGAAGATGTCGTCACTAATCTGGGTGTGTCTGGTCAGGTGACAGGTGTACTGGCTGGAGGGTAGCTTCTTCATTAATAAGGTCATGACGCCGGGTTAAGCTAATCGCGTGGCAGTGAGAATTTTGGTTCATTGTGACCGTGACCCCTCTTGGGTCAGGTGTTAATCTCGCTGCTATATGTGCTGTTTTTCTCTGGGCTGTAAGCTGTGGTCTGATAAACAATCATTACACTACATTATATTATGTTTATCATACTGGCTATAATGTACGGCACCATATTGTTATAATGTAAGTGTTGACATGCTGTCTGATTTTGCTGTTGCCATATCGGGTATAATGTAAGTGTTTTGTTGTTTATCCACTTCGCCACTTTCAGATTAATATACCGTACAAGTGGTTCGGTCAGTTCTCAATACAGTATTATTCTCATACGCACTATGTCGGTAATGTACAAAAGTGATGCCATGCTGTCTATCTATTGTAAAAGGGCATTACCACAGTCTAATGCATTGTAAGATTGGTGCCATAGTATTTACAGTATAAGTGCTACCATACAGTACTAGGTATATGCACGTGGCGTCGGTACTGTTGCTGTGATGTGGAAGAGGTTTGAGGAAGTAAATGGAAAGACGAAGAATTCGGCGAAATTCCGATTTTCTCTTGTTTTGCTCATTTTTTATAGCAGCTGCAATGGGAACCTGGAACTGTGCAACTATTAAGTGTTCTAGCAAGTTTGTAAGGAACAAAAATCTGTCTTTCTCTCGATTTCTTTGGTTTGACGTAGTTCTCAATCATTCACAGAGTGGCAAAGGCGTAGCTAACTTCAGCATGATGGATAAGTCCTTCATTCAGCTGCCGTTCCTCTTGCTGCTGCTCATCCTGCTGACATCACCCAGCGCTGACGCTTCTCCCGTTAACGCTGGGGTCTTTGGCCCCTCACGCTCAAACGGCGATTGTAAGTACAGTACAGTATACGAACTGTTTTCAGTAACCAGTTTGTGGCGTACATCTATACTTGAACCATATAACCCCAAACATTCATTAACATCATGCGAAATTTGTTTTAGCATATATATATATATATATATATATATATATATATATATATATATATATATATATATATTTAATTTTATACCTGTAAATACAAAGTACTATTCTTTTTATTGTCAGGTTTGGGTTGCGTACGACCACCCCCACCACCCCCCACAATCATCGATCCGCCGTGTTTCAGATGTCCCGCCGGCACCTATCTTGTATCACGAAGACCTTGCAAGTGTTCAGATAAGTGGGACCCTGCTGTTGCTCGGCCTACTCCTGCCTCCGTGCTTTTTGGCTAACATCACTCACTACGCATCACATCCTCACTTCTCATTCTTTTATTAATTTCTTGGCATGTTATTATTTATTTTGAGAAATTGAATCATTTTTATAGAGGATGTGCGCTTCCAGGGAATGACAACACCGGTAGGTGCTACAATTACTGTTATATGTTTTGGATAAAAAAGATTCGAGAAGGGAATGGTGAAGGAATGATCATATGGGGCTCACTGCACGTTGTATGAAGGCGAGTCTTGGTGCGTCTTAATATCACAAAACAATGATAAATAACATTAAAAAAACAGCCAGTAAACTTAAGGGTCACGAACGACGTCACCTGAGATTTAGGTCTTTTTTGGGGGGAGGGGGGTTCTCTCAGTTAGAACAGCGCCCATTTAAAACTTAATCTTGACCCATACTTTCGTCAGGGATGGCCAACAGTCTCTTAAATTTCCCTGCGTCTTACTCAACAACAAATAAATATAAATAAATATGCAACGATTCAGAATTCATCCATCTGGGTAAGAGAACCCTCAATCGAATGAGTTTGCTAAAAGTAAAAATATAGTTTCAGATGTTATATATAATTTTTTATAATAAAACTGTAAATGTCTTGCAAAAATTGTTAAAAGTGAAGCAATAATGATTTGTGTGATTGTCCTTGGGGAAAAAGACCTTGCCTAACGGTGAACAAAACTCTGTATTACGACTGCAGTTAAACACCAACTGTCATGTCTACACTTCATTCGGCGTGAACATTCATAAGTGAATTTATGATAAAAAAGATTCTATACCAGAGGTACAGTCGCTCAAAAAACTATCTTTTCAAAATTGTGTTACAGTTAGACAATAGTATAACATAACTGACGAAGGGGACCTTAGGAGGCATCTATCGACGGGGGGGGGGGGTACTACCAAGGATAAGTAGTCCTTGGTTATTACCGCCTATCCTTGGTTCTTTGAGTAGATGTCTCATTACCAAAGGGTGGAGTCTTAAATTTTATAATGTTGTAAGTAGTGTTTTAAATAGTAGAGTGTTTAATCTATATTTTTGTGCTATAATATTTTCAAAAAGGAAAACCTTTAAATGAATACAGCGTCACATAACTTACGACGCCAAATGAACTCAAGGTCCTTGGATGAACTATACTGTACTTCGTTCACATTAGCTGGTGGAAGCAATGCTGTAGTGAGTGTGTGATATTGTAATATTGTTTAGTATACTAGAATATTAGCTATATTTAGTCGGTCAGTGAACGCATTTGCTAAGTGCCTGACCTAATGGGGAACCTTTAGTCCCAATATAGCCCATCACTCGCCTTATGTGAAAAATGCCCCCTTCTATGTTATATTGTAATGGATTCCTCCCCTACAAACGCTCTTGCCGCTGAGTAGCCGACCCCGCGAATTCCCCAGTGTATGCTTCGTGCTCTAGGTCAACCAGCGCCGCCTTACATGACGGAGGTCAACTATTAAGCCACGCCTACCTCCGCTATATAAGATCTCACCTCGTAGTGGCCCTACCACTTTCTATCTACAGCCAGTCTTCAAATAACACCTCCTCCACTCCTGCCTGGCGGCCCTCGCTCCAGCCGGTGACCATGGCGACCTACACCTCGTGGTGACCACTCTTTCTACCTACAGCCACCAGCAAGCAACACCTCCTCCTCCTCTCCTGCCTGGCGGCTCCCGCTCCAGCCAGCGAGCATGGCGACCCACAAGCTGGTCCTCCTCTGTGCACCCTCACCAACCAGCTCTCTCTACTCAACGCTTGTAACCACGCTGCCTTCCCAGCACCAAGCTGCATTGTACATCCAATACATGTATACAGAGAGCACATTGTGAGTTTCTTTTCTCCATCCCATCCTGAGTGTGAATCAAATAACCCGTACCCCACAATATAAACACAAAAAAGATTTAAAATCTAAAACGGAGCAAAATAAATAATGTGTAAGAACAGGCCAGCAAAAATTTCATTAAGTGGGCTTAGAAAAAAAATATATATATTATTTAGTAGTGATTTTCTCTCGTTACAGGCAGTTAATATATTTATTAGTTGTAATACTGTTTTAGTTTTTGAGGAAATTAAAGGGTACGAGGCATTGCTGTTTCGTCTTGACCTAAACGTATAGTTTGTACAGTATAATGTTTGTAGGCAACAGTAAAGTGGTCCTGGGCATGGCCGGATTAAGGTTGTGCGGGGCCTAAGGCCGAAAAGAGGGAAGGGCCTGTATAATTTGTATGTACTTCCATAAATTTAAGTTTAAGAAACATAAATTAAGGCCTAAAGTCGAGGGTCTAAGGCTACAGCATTATTAGCCTTATGGTTAATCCGGCCTTGATCATGGGCAGTGCTCACACATGTTGGTCCGCAGTTCACCTCCTTTGAAGCCCTAGGAGTTCGTCCAGCTTTACTGTCACCCGAGTCACTCTAACCGAGTGAAACGTTGCTGCCATATGTTGAATACTAAACTAAAAGGTTGCATTTGCGGTTTTATATTTTCTGAGAGTTCGTACATGTAGCATAATAGATCATTTACCAGAGATAAAAATTAAGAAAATGTAATTCTTCAAAGGGTTATATACTGGATATAATATTAACTGCATAATCGTAGTTTGGCACTCCCTGATCTAGTTCATAGTCACTATTTCATATATCAAAGAATGATGTAAAGTACACATTGATATAATTGGTAAGTAGGCACTGAGCTGATATCAGTTCGGGATATAAAGAGAAATATTCATGGGAAGAAAAATAAATCGTTCATCTATTACGTATTGGGTAACCAGATGTCGCTAAGGATTGTTACCTCAGTCGTACTGGAGACACGAAGCCATAAAGACGGTGCAGCTGTGTAGCATAATTATATACCTGCAGTTAAATGCAGGATATATTGACAAGAGAACATTTAGCTTAATCCTAATTCCCCCAAAAGCTACTTGTAAATGAGGACCCTCAAAATGTGTGTTCACTAATTGCCTGGATACTATCTAGTTTTAGCCTGTGAGAAGCCGCTGTGAATATTCTTTTAAGCACCAAAGTAAAATGGTGCGTGGACCTCCATTTGCAATATTTTGGTGTGCAGCAATTTTAGCAGGTGAGGTGCTGTTAATACTGAATATGCCATTTATTTCAAAGATATAGAATTTATTTCGTATAATCATTGTTACTCGTTATTATTCAGGGGCATCATTATAAAAAATATTAATGGATTTTAGGTAGTTTTGTATAGTCAAGCAAATATTTAAACTGTACATATCATACAAGTGGTTATTGTAACAAAACTAAACTAGGTAAATCCTGAGTTATCACGCTCTTTCTCCATATATCTCACCCAACTGACAGATAAATTATAATGGTCTGTAAAAAGATCATGGTAACTTGGTAAGCGAAGCTCCCAGACAGGTCACTATATACTTCACCTCAGTAGACTCATAATGTTGCCTTTACTCTTTAGGAACATTTAATCTGCGTTGATGTTATAGCGTAGTGCTGTGCTCTGACTGATTAAGATGATAAGTTTTTTTATTGTATTCATTTGAAACCCAGGAATGCTTCCATTTTTTGCAGTTTTAGAAATGAACCACTTAACGAATCTAGTCAAACAATTTGGTTCTTCCTAGCTCTGAATTCTATTTCCCTATTATAAGTACCTCTCAAAGCATATTTAATTTTGCGTCATTATTTACTCACCAGGCTATGAGTTTCCATGGGTGATGACCCTGGGATCTCCGGCGTCGGACACGTTTCCAGCTTCTGGTTACGACATCAGCGCGGCTCTGGCTGACCTAAACAAGCCTAAGGCAGTGCCTGAAGGCCCTAGATTAGTGTCACGTACGTACTCTCGCCTCATCGTGTCCAGGGGCTCCTCCGTCACCCTCAACTGTACCGTGGAAGATGCAAGTGATGTCTCAGTGAGTGTATGCTGTACTCGTACGATATTGTGTATGTACTTTGCTGTTGATAATTATTTAGGTGTGAATTTCATACGTTAGTGAAGTTACAGAATGGTAGAGGATTACCTTGTCATGTAGAGGGAGATAAGAATTATTTGGAAAATAGAGTGGTGACTGCTACTTTACTTTATCCTCTTCGCCATTGATCGGCTTGTTGCCCACTTTGGCGGTCAGTCACATTTGTTATGCACTGTCAGCACGCTGGTACTGAGCATGTACTGGCTTCAGAATGTATCTGTAGTTCTGTACCTACGCCAGTGTTAATCAAGTCTGGTCTTGAATGAGCTCACACTTGTGCCGTCACAACACTGACAGTTTTCTGAACTTCTGATTTCTTCAACCTCAGGTTGTGATCCCTTCCTTTCCCTAGTATTTATAAGAAAATTAATTGCCATTTATGCTCTCAAGGTATTGTACTTTTCAGCACCCAGGAAAAAAATGTTAAACATTAAATATTTCCGTTTACTGCTCCTTCGTTACTTACAATGGAAGTTACATAAAGCGCCTGTCAGTATCCTCTTTAGTAATGATCGAGTCTATATCGTTATTAAGTTTAAGTTAACTCTTTTATACTGTACTCTTTCTATGGTGTTCATGAGCACCTGTTCTTTGACAAGTTGAAGCTCAAAATATGTAGCTCAATAAACAGTAATAGTTAACCCTCATTTTATACACATTTTGTTTGGAAAGTTGGTCGCCGTACCATCAAGTCTCGCTGTAGCAACTCATTAAAAATAATGGATATTGGATATTCTTTGGTCTCTAGCATATCTCTGGGACAAGACGGGGTGACAGGGCCTTCTCATTGTTTTAAACTAAAGGAACACCAGTTTAGTATTTTTCATGTTTGGAAATAATAGTATGATACTTTTTTTATATTACGTATTATTGTAAATATCAAGCAGTATAACTGTTATAGTTTTATTGTTCATACCTAATGGTAGTCTCGTTCAAGGTTCATCGAACACTGCTGGAGACAGCTGGCAACACAAGGCCGTTTGTTTACTATAGTACGTAGTACAGCATATTATAATACGAAACAACAAAGCCCAACCATTAATTAAGCAACGGGGAACTAAGTAACCAATCACCGATAACCTTTTCCATTCATTCATAATTTTTACTACGTTACTATAGTAAACAAACGGCGCTGAGTTGCCAGTTGTCTCCAGCAGTGTTCGAAGAATCTTGAACGAGACTGTACTGTAGTACATTATTTTTTTCTGTAAACAGATATTTTTGCTTTATAATTTCCTAACAAAACTTCTTTTTCATAAAGATTTCGGTTTCTTTTTTCTCCCTGCAGGTGACGTGGACCCGGGACAAGGAAGTGCTCACGGTGGACAAGTTTAGGTTAGTGAATAAACGTCTAGCTTTAGTTGTAGCGTGAGAAGCACCCTTTAATTCTTGTGCTGCAACTTTTACGTGAATGTTGTACTTTTCACTCGTGTTGCAACTTTCATTCGACAGTATTAGCTTTCATTCGATTTTGTGCATTTTCATTTGCCAAAATTCCCCATAAAAATGGCCAAAGTTCTCTTGTAAAAAGTGTCTAAAATTCTCTGTAAAAAGATAAAAAATTATCCGTAAATATTTCCAAATTTATCTGTGATTAGCAGCATATACAGGGTGATTCAAATATATAGACTAAATAGGGATAATTGCCGATTAAGCCTTAAAAAGTAACGGAAGTTTTTTGACGAAGAGGCATAACTTTTTGGTTTTAATGTTTTACCTCAATGGGATAAATTCGTATATGGGAAAATTTGCTCTATTTCATTTGAGGCGTCGTTTACTGTTATAAGATAGCAAAATTATACCTAAAATAGATTAGATATATATTTATATACAGTATCTGTATCTCCATTTCTTACAGATATACGGGTGATGAGCGGATAAACCCTCTTTATGAACATGGATCATGTGATCATAGCCTCCGCTTCTCCCAAGTGATGCCAGAAGACTCTGGCATCTTTCAGTGTCATGTAGGCACAGACCCTGAGCAGGTGGCTAGGGTGAAACTCGTCGTTATAGGTAAGTGCTTACATAAAATGCTATGATTCTACTTTTCAATTACTTAGTTCTTTAACAGCTACATTAATGGGATCTCTATTAATACATTTAGGCTTCCATTCACAATTGGGTGAACTGGGGGAGCCTCAGGCCTGAGTGAGTGAACCCTTAGGACGTGAGGAGTGTGTTTTATCCGCTTACCTCCATTAAATAATAAATCTCAATGAAGTAGAGGATATTACAATATTTTCATCGTTGGATGTAAGGAGTAACAATATGTGTGAATTTGTGGTCATCTTTGGAACAAGAGGGAAGACAGTGCATCCTGAACCTCACTTAACACAACTTGTGAATGTGTTATATGATGAAAGTTCTGTAGTGTAGAGTATTAAGAGAAAACTTAGGTACATTTATGTCAGTGTGATATCAAAGGAAATAAAGAAAACTGTTTTGCTTATTGATAAACTGTATATTATAACTGGTCGTAAAGTAGGCACAGCTCATTTCTGTCGCTGATCTGATCTAGCGGACTCCCAGGTCGTTTGGCTGTGAATGGGAACCTACTTTACAGGTTGGGGAAGCGAAGGTCAAGTTGCTTCCTTGTGTAGCAAAAGCTTAGCATATAGTGTACTGCAATGTCTATGTGACTCACTTTCATTCCGTAATAGATTATACTGATTAAATTTGTTTCTTTCAGATGCATACTCCGTTATCTTCGGGTCATCTGAAGTGTCTGTGGCTGTAGGAGGGACACTTTACTTGTTGTGTTTGGTTCTTCAGGTTACCGACATACCTGAATACATCCTCTGGTACCATAACCAGAAAGTCATTGATTACTCCAGAAGCAGCATCTCGGTGAGTGATCAAGACTGATGTGTCAGACTGTATCATGTGTCCACTGTCCAGAATGGTATGTCTGATTGTCTTAGTGGGAAATAAGTATTGCTGTTTACACATTTTTCTGGACAGTTGGGCACTATAGTGGACATCATTAAATTTAGTTCTACAATTGTATGAGTGTTTAAAAGATGACTCTAAATGAAATTTTTCATAAATGATGCTTGCAGTTGTCAAGTCATAATAATCAAGATTTTCATAAAAAAACAAGACAAAAATATATAACCAATTTCTCAAAATGTAAAAATATTAGCTCCGTCAAAAATATTTGAAGATTAAATCTTCAAGGGTTATTTCCTCAAAACTAGAATATTACATATTCGCTGGTTTGTGAAAACAATGACGATTTAATGGGAGTGGTCATAACATTGCTAGAGGATAGACGACTACCACCCACATTGTCCTTTTAAGATGAATTACAATTTATAATTTTAAATTTCATTCATTAGAGACAATAATTATACTATAGTAAACAGATTTAAGAAAAACTATTGAGATAACGTTACTATATAAAGATGGCTAATATATCTTTGCCTCTCCTCATTGTGTCGAGGGTGTGATCCCTGGGTCAGGTGTGACCCAGTGTGACTACCAAACATCTTTGGTTTCCTCTGGGTACTCCGGTATCCTCCTGCACTAGCACTGGACGTGGAAGGTCGTAACAAGGACAGACCGGCCGCCCAAATGGCTAGTAAGCTGATGAGTGGTGGAAATAATAAACAAAAAGTGTTGCAGCCCCTAGTCTGAAGAGGGAGATGAGCGTGGTTGTGTTCAGTTACCCTTCAGCATTCAGGGGGAGTGTGTGAAATGAACTGTTCAATTATCTTAAAGGTTTACATCATATAAATTTGGCTTGACACAATTTTCTCGTGTGATTATGCTGAAGCACTTGTATGTGACAAAGTCTGGCTAACAGAAACTCCAGGGTGACTTGCTGAGGAGTTCTGTTGTTATGCCCAGTGCCCAACAGTAGAGAGGGGGTACCAGATGGCTATTTTATAAATGTGCTTTTGTGCCTAAATTTAAATTATACCCCATCTTGTCATTTAATATGTTGCTTAACACATTAGGTGAAGACAGATGAAGAAACACGGTCAAGTGAGCTGCGGGTCTGGGACATCAACTATACAGATGCTGGGAACTACACCTGTGAACCCTCTAATGCAGCCCCAGCCTTTGTTTCCATTACAGTGTTCAAGGGTGAGTTAATAAGAGAGCTGCCTACTTTATACATCATATATTAGTTATGTTAACTCCTGTGTAGTCAGAGTATGTGAAGGCAGACATAAGTTGTCATAATATTAAAAGTGCGATTGATAATGGCTAAAGAATACTCACCAGGTCACACAGTGTAGGAAGGAATTTAAGTGTACATACCTACAATAGGTTTTGGAAGATATTGTACTGTATAAGGCAGTAAATTAAACATAGAAACATAGAAATATAACGGTGGAAACATCTATGGAAGACAGTGTAGTAAGTATATTATAGGAGAAAAAAGTCGTTCATTTACTTCACTACAATTTGTTCTCAACCTCTCATTACTGGTTGTTGTGGCGATGTGTTGTCCTCTATAGAAGATAAATGCTTTCTTACCCCGTGAGAAGGACAATAACAAAAAAATACAAGGAAAACGTTTTTCGTAATATAATTTTTACAAGTATTGTATGTGCAGTGTGCAGGTAATTTCTCTGAATTTAGAATCTAATCTTTCCTACGTACCATTAAATATATTTAAACAATATTTCTGATTTACAATTATCAGTGACATCCCCCCTCGAGGATCTGTAAAATTTAGCCTTAAAATGGCTTTGTGAATTCCTTGTATTTTAAGTAATAGGGGGAAAATATTGTACAAGCCACTAGTGGTTATAATTACTAGTGGCATAGACAATAATTATTGATTCTGATCCTCAGTTATTTTCTCTATCACTTAATTCTTTTCTTCTTCTTCTTAGATACCAACAAGAAATCTGGACGAACAGAGAAGTGTGATGAATGTGTATTATACATTCAACTTGGCGCAACATTTGCATTTTTCACTCTAAGCTTTTTAATTGCATTCTGCATCCACAGCCGCGATAACACGTCTCGGCCTTGGTTAGAGCACAGTCTTTCAGAAGATCTTTATGTTCCACCTGATTATGACAAGTCTCTATGAGGATTACTGATGCTAAAATGCTCTAGAGGTTTGAAACAGCATCATTATTTTTAATAGATCTTTGAGAATTTTCTAAACTACACTTCTAAGTAGCTTTTTATGCATTACTATAGTATATAAATCACCTAAAGTTATCCATAAAACTATACCCTGTACGCCTGTTATAAGGAATCCAGCAATATACTATATACCTCTTAAAAGATTTCCAACACTATTATGTACAGCCATTCTAAAAATTACCAAGGTCCCAGGAGTCCCCAAAAACCTGCCACGTCGGGCGAAGATCAACCCAACCGATACATCAAAGCATATGGCCTGTCGCTCGTTTTCCATTCTACCGGACCCTGGGCCCAGTCTTGATACTTTCAGAAGCGATCTAACACTACCTCATATAAAAGACCTAATCAAATGATCTAACATCTAAACAGATCCAATACTCTACACTTCTTATAAGGGATCCAGCAATTTGTACACTTACCAGGGATCCAAAACTTTCTCACTCTCTGAGAAGGATCCAACATTCTAAGCATCTCTCAAAATGGAATCAATAGTCTGTTACTTTTAAATGGATTCTAAATCTATACATTTCTTAAAAACATATTTGTATCAGATGAAAGATTCTCATATAAACTCAGTAAAGGAGTGACTGACTGACTGACTGACTATGAAAACTCTTCCCTAACCTTCACCCACCCTTGTTGCCCAAGGTGTAGTCAACTAGGGCCTAACATTGCTGTTCATGAGTTTTTAGTTCATTATTTATATAATGTTATCCTCTCGTTTATCTTTATACCATGATTTCTGAAGTTTCTTAACACTTTAAATTTTGAGAAGTTTGAGTTAAAAATAAGTCTTTAATGTTTAAAGAGTTTATCTCTGCATTGCCTTTCATTGTAACATTGAAGAGAAATTTGTGGCTCTCAAGTGTAAAGATCCCCATTTGACAATAAAAAGGTTTTAAGAGGTGATTTCTCCTTTGTATCCTGTAATAACACTGGACAATTAAGTTCACAACAAATAAAAAAAAAATAGGGAACAACCGCTTGACCATCCTCATATCTGAGGGTTAGCGACCATAGCCCTCCACTCTTCACAGGTAACATTATAGTGCTGTTTAATCTTAAGATGAAATAAGTAAAATAAAGTGGTCCAATACAGTACAGCACTCATCTATATAAATTAATATGGCAGTTGTTTGATAATTTTCCTTTTAATGAAAAATAAATAAAATAAAGTGCTTGTGTACAAGGCCTCTCCTACAGCCTTCCAAAGAACAAAATCCATAACTGCTCAATTATATGTCATATCTCTCAATATCTACTGGGGTTTCTGCCTGTATTAACATTGGGCAGTGAAAATCATAAGAAAGAACCACCCGAATGGCTGATTATTAAGCATAAAGGATCAATTAAAACCAAATTAAAACAACACGTTAAATTTTACTTTAAATTACACTCAACAGATGAATGAACTAAGCAATCACAACTGGGAAGTGTTGCCAAGTCACCGGTTTTGAACACTCATCTGAGCTATTTATTTTTACTTTTTGTTTCGGGTTGATTGATTGATTGATTTACTGATTCTCTTATAAAATATGGTTAAATATAGGTCTAGTGATTAAACCCTCCCCTATGAGTGCCAGTGTTGGTCTTGTCTTGTCTAGTCTTAGCCCACACTCAGTGCCTCTACAAAGAACACACTAACCAAACCGAATAGTTAGCATGTTTATAAGTAGTGAATTGATAAATAAGAAAGATTTAGACACACAAATAAAGTCCTTAGGAAAGATGAAATCAGTAAATGGGATTCTTTTGAGTTATTTTTCAGATGAGACTGTAGTTTGTGTAGATCTGGCAATACTGTTAGTGAACCATCTCTGCTGCATGTCCAGGTTCTCGTGTTGTACGTTTCTCTCTCTATTACACAGTATGTCCAACAAATATCCTGTTCAAGTTAGAATGCGAGAAATGTCCAAGCAAGAGGAAATACTATTGAAAAGGAAACGTGAAATAGAGCGTAAAATGAAGGAACAACAGCAAGCAGATGTTAAGGTCAAGAAAGCAAGCCCTCCATTACCCCTCAAACCAGCACAAAGTATACCAGAGTCTAGTCCTAGGTGAGTATGGATTTACATTTATATATTTATTTGATAAAATTTTAGTAATGATAGTCTATGCAAGTTACCAAACCCTTTAAAAGAGCCAGAAACTGCCCTTGATTCACAGCTGGCATGAGTCAATTGATTTGATTATTATTTGGTGTCATAAAGTCACAAAAAATTGGTAAACTTAATTTAATCTGAATTGTGTTAGGTTAGGTTAGGTTAGGTACATGCACTCGATTTATTAACTCAGATTAAATTAAGTTTTCCAATTTTTTTTTACTTTGTGACACCAAATACTAGTCGAGAAGTGATTAGCAGTCCGATTTATTCATGTAGGACCATTATTTGACTTCATTGCGGCTACATTTGGGTACATTTGGGTAATTAGTTGGACCCCTCACGTATATAACAGTCACTGAGGATTAAAATATAATTCGTCTCCACCTTTACCTAACACGGTTAATATTCGTCCATTGGCTGTCTGCAGGTTCCCGCCATTTTTACCTCAGGTTAAACTCTTCACTTAATCAGTTGTCTCCCCATTTCCTCCTCCTCCTCCTTGTAGGTTAGTTCATTTGGTATGAGAATAGGTTTTAATTGTTGTGTATTTTGGGTGTGTTTTACCCTTATTTTACCTCCATTTTTGTTCAAATTAGCTGCTTCTGTTAAAAATTAAAATTTTATTTTTTGCAAAAAACGCTAATTTGCAAAAGAAATGAAGATCAGTTTGAGTAAAACACACTGAAAAACGTCAAAAAAACCTATTCCCGTACCAAAACCTGAGAAGAGCCAGTGGACGAATATTTACCCTTAAAACATAAACTAAAGTAAACTTTTATTTCCAAAATTGTCGGTATTATTGCGTTTTCACATCACACATTCCTACCACTAATCTATTATCATATCCGAATAAGACGTCTAATTATAAGAAAATTTTCATCTATTACATTACTGTCGCAAATGTACAATAACGGAGATAGCGTATCCAAAATGTTCTCTATTTTCTTCCATTAATCTTCTGCCATTATCGCCTACCTCACCTCCCACACTGCGTGTCTCCTTCATAAACCATCACGCGCATGGGTTCCCGTGCACGTCTCGCGGCCAATTAAAAGCTTTTTTTTTTTTGCAACCAATTAAAATGATTTTTGGTTTAATTTGCGGTATTTTTGGCCCAATCAAAATCGATTTTTATTTTAGGTCTCATATTTCCAAATTCATATTCATTTCCGACCATGGAAATTCTGTAAAATTTTACCTAGTTTCAGTCATCCCCGTATTTAATGGGTAGATCATAGTGGATGTTTTGCCGTGACCAGTTAAGTTCCGACTAATGCTATTTTACCGCAAGTGCTCTCTGATTGGCGAAGTATTAGCCTCCCGGCCATGCACAGGCCAACCGGCCTATTGCAGACTCCTTATGTTCTTATGTTAGGTAGGTTTCTTTGGTTGGTTGGTTAGGTCAGGTTCTATTAGGTTTTAGTAAATGTCTCCTCTTTTATGATTTTTAATAGACTCTGTATCTGTGTTCTTCTGGCTAAATAAACTGTTTCAATATCTGGAAAAAATTAAAATTGAACAACGGACAATATTTAGACTTTGTCACCACCTAATTGATTTTTGAAAATGGGTTTTTACAGTGTAAATCATCGTGTTAAATACAAATATGACCTTCATTGCTGTCGGAAATGAGCAATAGTTTAGATATTGAAAAAAAAAGTGGAAGGTCAAACAATGTAAAAACTTTAAAAACTAACCGAACCTAACCTTACTGAACCTAACCTAACCGAACCTAACCTAACCCCTAGTGTGTGAGAAACTTACCTTAAGGAAGAGATACAGGAGGATAGATAGAGTGATGTGACTTGAATGAGGAAGTGGCATCTTCGTCAGTGTCCGTCTCTTACCACAGTACCATGCAGGGTGATCTACACGGTACTGACACTCTGAATTACATTTTGGACACTTTACAGATGAAACAAGAACACCGTAAGCCCTAAAATTGACAACGGCTGCTGCGTCATTGTCCAAAATGCGCTGAATAATGCAGCAGCCAGCCATCTTCCAACTGGCCACGAATGCTGATTAGCGCACAAGTATTACGTCACATCGGCACTCCGACGGAAACATTACAGATTTTTTTTTCTCTATCTCACCATATAACTCAGTATTAAGTTAAGTGGTGGCAACCTCTAAATATTAACCCAAGCAACTTCTGGTTAGGGCTGTTTATAGCCACACAGCGATCGACACGGCAAAATAAATGCCAAATATGGTGAGAGTCACGGTCACATATCGTTCTCACGTTGTTAGCTGGTAATGGACGATTAGCCAATCAGAGTACACTCACGGTAAAATAGCATTAGTTGGAACTTAGCCAGTCACGACAAAATACCCACTGCCTCTTTAGATATCCAAGCAGACCTAACCTAACTGATTCGCCGGATGACTGAAACTAAAATAATACTGTACCTCCAAACCTATCTAACCTAGACACAGAACCCAGGAACTATATCTAACCTAACCTAAATTCCTAAGATTCCCAGATGACCGAAACTAAAATAATAAAAAAAATTCTAAATAACTGCGGACAAAAATGTGGCTCTATGGCCGTAATTATTTTTATATATAGTACTGTAATTTTCACAGTTTACTAGCCATTTAAGCAGTTGGTCTATCCAGTGTTTGTACAGGAGAAAAACGGAGAACTGGAAACCTGTGATGTTTGGTGGTGAGGGTCACACGGGACAACTCCCTTATCACGTGTGTCCAGGCTGAGGATCAAACCCTTGACATAATTGGTGAGAGATACTGTATATACAGGGTATATGGAGTTGATGTGGTGGGAAGTTGCTGTGTGGTCCTTGGGTTAGTTTAGGTAGTGTGTAGTATTGACTCTGCCTTTTGTATGTATGCTGGTTGTGGAGAAGTGAGAGAGCAATTAGCTGAAGGCATCTGTAGGGGAACTCTTCAGCATGTGCTTTGTAATGTATATACTGTAGAGGATTATATTCCTCAACATGATGCCTTTCAAGTGTTCAGTGAGTGTCAATGCAAGGCCAAGTGCAAGAAAAAGAAGTACAAAATTGAAAGTCTACAGATGACTTGATGCTAGTAATGCTTTTTCTAATGTATGACAAACACTTTCTATTCTAAATTCACTTTGTAATGCTAAGACTTTACTTTGAGAACCATCCCTCTATGTAGCTTTTTTCTCCGCAGTGTAGCAGCAGTGCCGCAGGTGCCCAATAAGTTTAGCAATGATGGAAGTTTTTTCGAACAGTTCAAGAAGTTGGCTGAAAAGCAGACCGGTAAGCATAAGGATTTAAATGATTTGTGTTATTCCTTTAAATAAATACTGAACAGGTATAGACCCTTAAATGTGGGGTCTTTGGGACCATGATTGAGCTGGTTTTAAGGATTTTCCAATTTCATGGGTCCTAGGTCATTCAATTTACCCAAGGCCTACCAGTACAGTACACTACATCAAGTTTTAGGTTCACATGCTGTGTCACTTGCACAAACTCCAGTGAATGTTTCAATTCTTAATTAACAGAATTAACATAAAGTCTTTGTATGCTGACTTTAAATAGGAAAATACACTACGTAAATATACTGTACTGGTAGTCTATGCTGTATAGAAGTTAAGAGTTTCCAAACGTGAGTGAAATGGATTTGTTTGCATCTCAGCACTTGCAGTGAGGTAAAACTTGATAAAGGAATGAGTTCTTAAATATTATTGTCTTATTGAATAAATAGCTCTACACCTTGATTATATTTACGTGTATTTAAATTTTTTTTTTTTTTTTTTCACAAGGCTTCTCTTAATTAATATTAGTCAAATTAAACCAAAGATTTGGGGTAACTTATGCCAGATACTACTTGTTGTCAACTTGTCAAACCCATTTAACTAGTGTAGCTTTTAAGGAACTCTCAACTTAGGAATAGACTACTGTATAGTAGTTAATGTTTTTATTATTACCTGTACAGTATTTGAAATATTCATACATTAAAATGATATTTTTCCTTTATTTCGTTATTTGACTCTCTAGCACCAGCAATACCATAAAATGGGAGAAATGAAGTATAAAATAATAAAAAATATCCTTCCACACTGTATTTCAATTTATTAAAAAGGTCTGATTTTATTCTAGATGTAAAAGAGGAGAAATATTCCTCTTCAGAGAAGTTCAAATCTTCAAGACCAGTTTCTACCAAATTGAAAGCTTACAACCAAATTCCTCCACCAAAATATATGTATCCAGGCCATTCAGTATCTCAGGGGCAAGACTCCACCTTCTCAACAAGTCCAGATCATGAAAACGTGAAAATAGAGCTCAACATTCATGATGTGAGTACTGTACTTGTACAGTACTAGTCTGAAAAGTGTTTTATTTGACCATTAATTGCATGAATCATATTTCATTGACACAATTATGGTACTGTACAGTTGTACCAAGGAAAAGATTAGTGGTGTGTTTTCCTCAAATAGATAAATTGTCTTTTTCTAAGATAGGAAAATTGATCATCATTGAATTATTTTAAAGTTGATTACAGTACATTCTTTCTCATTTATCTTTATTTTTTAGCTACTAAAGTAATAAAACAACATAGGTGTGTTTTTGTACAGTTTGTATTACAAACAAGAGAACATTGTACTGTTAAAGTGATCCATCAGCTTTAGGTAGTCTATGCACAATGTAATGCTATTTTATTCAACTGCAAATTTTCAAATTTGTAGAGGTGTAAATGTTCATGATGGTTAGGCATTCATAATCAGAGCTTCAGGGTAAATCATAACTATTTGGGGCATTCAGCAGCAAAATTGCTTCCAATTTGCCTTGCAGCAACTGGGACATCATTGCCATCAAGTGCTGTAATCATGGCTAATTCAAACACACATAGAAGTTAGCAGTAGAGCACAGCCAGGTACATGTGATTGTATAACAGGAATTTGATTATTTACTCTAAATAAATTGGAATACTCATCTGTTGAAAATGGTAAAAATATGATTATTCGTGGGCTTGAATTTGGCGTGCGGCATGACTGTCGTGTTTCTTTTTGGGCAGCTGGCTGGGCACGATGCGAGTACCATGGCTATGGTGTTATTCAGCAGTCGCTGATGCCTGCTTAATTTCCTCTCATTTTGCTACACACTGCCACAGAGTGAGCGTGTGTTGATCTGCCCGCTTGTCCTACCCGAAGATTTTGTTACTGTTTTCCCGAGTACCCTTCACTGCAGTAGGACACCGAAACATCAATATGTACAGGTACTCTAAAGATTCTTTGAATGTCGGTGCAAGCAAGGGAGGAAGGAAGGGTATGGCACTCATTTTAGACGAGCCCTGTGTCTGTGTGGCAGCTTTCATCTGGGAGTACAATGTGATTGAGTCCAGTAAACTGTATGTACATTTTGAGTGAGGAAAAGATTATTACCAGTGTAAATCTAACACTCCTGTAAGTGCTAAGAAATCAATTGCTTCCTATTTTAAATCAAAAGAATGCACTCCAGGCTCCACTTCAATGGAGTTTGACATTGAGAGACCTCAAACCATTAACCCTTCGCCCTACAAGCTCACCACCCTTCTTATCACCATAGGCACAGCAGCAGGGTTTTATTGGTACTTGTAAATGCAATAAAATATATTTTATAACACCTACCACTTAACAGATATTGGCCATTCGGGCTACCCACTGTTATTACAGGAAGAAACCGGTGGCTGAGATGATGTTTGGTAGTGTCAAACTGGATAATTCCTTTCTCACGTGTGTTCAGGCCAAGCAGAACTCGAACCCTTGAACATATTGATGAGGTCGCGCATTAATGCTATGCCACCAAAACCCTGCACCAAGTTACCAATTTTAAACCCACGAATAATCAAAATTTGACAACTATCGACAAATAGTTCTGAGAAATATTGAGTCATTGAGAGCACACTTTAAATGAAATAGACATATGGAGTGTACAGTGGGGAAGAGATTATGGATCATATACGATGGAGTTGTTTTGTGTGTGATAGTGGTCATTTGAAAGAATCTAATGAGTCACCTGTGTATGTATCGTGAGTTATTTTAAAGTGTTGTGAATCACTGTAAATGCTGATGATTTGCTGTGTACATTGTGTGCAAGTTGAGAATATGAACAAGAATATGTGGATATTTTTACATATTGTTCTAGCCATTTCTTGTCACCCACTACAGTTATTTTTGCATTGCTTTCCTTATTATTTCCTCCCTTCCATAAAAATTAGAGAAAGGTAAAGATAATAGAAAGATAAATTTTGGTGAAGAGGATTTTTTCTTTTTATCAGGAAGAGGACTCCCTCAGTAATCAAACAATAAAAGATGTAGATCAACCTGATTGGTTCAAGGATGCCCTTAAGAGAGCCCAAGCCAAGGCAAAACAGCTGTCTGCTGTAGCCCCCCCAGGTAAGCATAACCTCTACCTTACTATTCAGGACAGCAGACACAGTACACCTTCCCATAAAGAGACCCTACAGAGGCTTTTATCCACAAATATTTTTATTAAATATGTACACTATAGAGGTCTTCTGAAATATGTAATGAGTAATGGAAATTCATGGAGGCATTCACTCAAACTTCTACAAACATTTATTTGCACACCTCATAAATATTAGTACAGTACACCATTCTGCTTAACACCCTGCACATATCTATATATGCTACCTGCAGACCCCAGTGTCCTGCTTACAAACACATGCACACACACTAACACATCCACATGCATGACTCATTCACATCGAAAAACGTGCACTAAGAGTATCGAACTTATAATTATTAGCCTTTATTTCAGGGTTCTGTTTGTTTTTTGTCTCATACCAAACCAGTACTGTATCTGAGTTTTTCACATACTATACACAGAAGATTGTTAAAGCTTGCCCTCCACCATCATAATGACACTGTATGGTGAACCTTTTTTCACTCGGCAGCCTAAGGATAATGTGCAACACTAAGCAATTGGTTTAGATATAAAATCCTTGACATAGTGGTTTGTACTAATCTGTATGAGAAGCCTCCCTCTCCATTGCAATAATCACTGTGAAATAAAAGAGTAGAATCAAAGTTTTGAACAAGTTCATTACATCACACAAACCACCGGTTGTGCGCACTTCACCCTTCTGTTTAGTTTAATCATTTTGCTTTTCAAGGCACCAAATTTCTTTTCTAAACATTTGGACTCCCTGTTTACTCTGCCTGAGAGTGATGTACCTTTATGTGTATATGTCTAGAATGAACATTGTCAGTTGGTTACATCCTGTCCACTAGCCACCTGTTAGTTGGTTACATCCTGTCCACTAGCCACCTGTTAGTTGGTTACATACTGTCCATTAGCACATGTTTGTTGGTTACACCCTGTTGACCAGCCACCTGTTAGTTGGTTACATCCCTCCACTAGCCACCTGTTAGTTGGTTACATCCCTCCACTAGCCACCTGTTAGTTGGTTACATCCCTCCACTGGCCACCTGTTAGTTGGTTACATCCCTCCACTAGCCACCTGTTAGTTGGTTACATCCCTCCACTAGCCACCTGTTAGTTGGTTACATCCCTCCACTAGCCACCTGTTAGTTGGTTACATCCTGTTTACTAGTCATCTGATTCCAGAAGATTACTGCTCTGGTAGCTCTGTGTTTTGGCCGAGCATAGATTTGTTCCCTCCTTCAGTTTATCTGTGATCCTAGTTTAATCAGGGTCCTGGATATTGGGTCAAAATTAGAGTCTGGAGTTTCTTACATCTCTCCTGGTTGATTTTTAAAATGATTAACTAACATAGATGACCTGTATGGTAGGGACATTGTATTAAGCTTGACCATTCTGAAGGGACACATTACACCCATTGTACAAGATGCTGTGGGTCATTGGCAGCATAATGGCTTTGCTGATACTGATACTGTACATACTCATGATAACTCTGGAAAACTGCTTTACACTGGAGGATTTGTTGGGTCAGAATTCTTTGAGACTTAATTTTTTTTTTTTTAGGTGGGTTGGCTCGCCAAGTCGAGTGCATATCTCACTACCACTTTGAGCATTTATAGTACAGTGCTGTCTCAATCGTTCCCATTATTTTACACGACTCAGTTGGTGGGTAGGAGTATGGTCATAAATGGAGGCGTAATTCTGAAATCCCATTTATGATTGATCTTGACGCCAAGTGACTCGACTAAACTCCATTCACCCAATGGGTCATTGGTAGCAAAAAGTTAGCTGAAACTAAATGGGTGGATGCCCAGAAGATATAGTATAGCCTACCTGACATGGTTGAGATGCACGTGCACTCATGTGACTTATGAGTTGTTAGCCCTGTAATGAAGGTGCTGACTATTGCTTCACAAATTTGTTTTTAAGGACAAAGATTACAATGGGACTGTAAAATAATTGTAAGATTAATTCCAGGCACTGTGGTTGAGTGTTACCTTGGGTTCCCTTGTAATCTAAGTACTGTTAGCACTTAATATAAGTTGCCTAGTTTTGACCTCGTAATAAAATGGGATTTCATGATCGATCCTTCATATTTATACCTCGTTGAATGAATGGTACTGTACCACTATGGTAAGGTAAGAAGACCACTCAGTGATTGATAGACTGGTATTAGGGGTGAGATAATTTATTTAATAAATTTTAACAAGTTGGACAATGTATGTACAGTATACATTGTATTAAGTTTATTATATTATAAGTGAAAAGAGACGACTGTAGTTTGCAACAGTAATTGATAAAGTTTTTGCAGTTGGACATTGTCTTTCTATTGTTCATTGTATAAAGTATAAATCCCCCTTAACCAATGTTTGCATCAAGACCAGTTAAAGTTGTTGTCATGCTGTTTATGATGTGGATAAAACCTCTTTATTGATAGTGCTTATTAAAACCAGACATTAATTTTACAGTATACGAGGTAGGGAAAACAAAATTGCTTTACAGTACTTAAATGTACATAGTTTATCGTTGTTCTTGTCATATGAAGTATGATAAAGAGGGCAATTTACAGTATAGTATAGGCACTAGAGTATATTCTGTATGCTGAATCTTTCTCACTAACCTTCCTGAAGGTATTGTCATCCAAAGCAATTCATAATTGTAGTTAAATTAACAAGTGATGTAGGGATTTAGAAGACTCATGATGTTGTGTCAACAAGCTTTAAGGTTTAACCCCAAGGTTTCCTGGAAGGCTGCACTTGGGTGACTGGGGTATACTACATAAACCTTTGCTACACTAAAAAAAATAGAGCTATGATCTCTTCCTGCTCAGCTGCAACCCTTATAAACTAAGGGTAGCGCTGATGTACCTGCTGCCCAAACTTGGGTTCTGTGAGTTTACTGCCTTAGTGCTGCATCCCATGACCCAAACAGGCTATAAAACAGGCTTAATGATCAACACCCTTCAGTGCCTTAGCTCTTCTTGATATCTCTCAATTGGCTGTGTGTGTTGGCAACTAAATTCTTTATTTATTTATTTGAATGGCTTATGTGGGATAGACTGGTTGCCATGCAGTTGTTTGCATTCATATATACTTTAGGTACATGCATTTTTCATGCTGCTGGAGTGTTTGCAGTTGCCATTTATGGTGTAGGAATGTTTGGCTAGATGTAATTTGTGCTCTATTTGTGCTGCCTTGAGAAGTCAACATCATTATATTCTACAGCACCATTTCTGATCATTATGGTAAGCGCTGTGTGTGCGAGGTTGAGGCATCAAAACAAGAGACTTAATTAAAGGGAACTTGACCTTTAAGCATGGGGAGTTGTCCACTGTCCTGCTCTTTGTTTCTTTTTGACTGGAATTCTAACTTAATCTGGTATGTCTTGAAATCTAAGCCTCTCAGGTTCCTTGTTTTCCAGCTCTCAGCCTTCGGGCACCTGGTTCGTCAGAGTTACCTTCTCTGTTAATAGGAGTTGTGGCTGAACTAGGAAAGCATTATCTCTAGTTTTACTTGATATCTGGAGTATAGTCCTCAGGTGGGACTTCCCGAGGTCAAACCAAGATGCTGTTAGATGCTCGATTCATTCCCTTTATATAATAGGATTTCAGGATCAGTACCTCATTTCTCAGACTAAATTTCAGTTAATGGTGTTTTGTGTAGCTTCTATCTCACACATTTTTACTGGGTTATTGAAATGGCAATAGTTTTCATTCTTCATCTTGTTGATTTATGTCAAACTAAGTCTACCGGTCAGGCAGAGATTTTCTATTCAAGCAGCTAGACTATTAGTGAGGGAGACATACTGACGAAGTTGTTGATTTGGTTCCGCTCCCCATCTTAAGGCAAGTTGTGGGTCGCCCTTACTGATGAGGTCGTTGTTTCTCTCCCACTCCCTGTCGCTAGGTTAGTAACGAGGCAGCTTTACTGATGAGGTTTGCTAGTTTCTCTCTCAGCTGGTTCCAGTGATGATGAGGATTCGATCAAGAGCCAAGATTCTCTCGAGCATCAGGCCAAGAAACGGAAGAGCCGTTGGGGAAGCTCACCTACCCCGGAGGCCATCCCAGTTGTACCACCAGCTCCAGGTATGCATTTTAATGATATATATGTACTGTATAATTAAGAATGTCATACAAATACTAGACTAAATTGGAATATTGTAGTAACTAATAACCACAAGGAAACCACAAGGAAAAAGAAAACACGAAGATCCCAAGCACTAGAACCGATTACTGTATTGGTGGAAAAATATTCCAGCTGGTGAGCAAGCGAAAACATGTTGACATGGTTTCGTAAGAATTTCGTTAACCGAATTGAAGATTCTTATGGAAGGTAATTCGTTAACCGAGGCGTTCATTAACCGAGGGATCACTGTATAAAGGTAGGCTGAGAGGGGTTTTAGGGCATGGGGAGAGAATGGAGGAGACCAATTGAGGTATGTGGTGTAGGAGTCTAAATGTGGAAGGGAGGATAGCTTGGGGGAGAAGTTGTAAGAAATGACTCTAGAGTTAGGAACCGGGCGAGAAAGGCTGCATGGTGAGCTGCCGTCAGGTAATTTTGGATAACCCATGTAATTTGAGTGGGTAAAGGGGCCATAAAACATTGATGATGATTTTAAAACTACTCTTTGAATGACTTACCTTCAATAAATGTCTAAATAATTAATGATGATTAAAAATACAGTTGCCTTGAATTATTTTGGGTATTTTTATTTCATGGGTTCCAAAATAACTACTGTAAGAAAGATTGAATGACAGTTAATGAAGGGAAAGTGTGTTAGTGGTGTTTATTCTGAACACCCTGCATTCTAGTAGTAAAAATGTAATGATTGCAGGAGTCTTCACATCCTTAAACACTAAAAATATTATTGTACTTTAATGTCATTCTCATTGTATAAAGTTCCCTGCATTGCTGTTAAGTTAAAACTGCTGAAGAATAATTTTTTTGTAATTTTTAACAATAATGTAGATACCTGTATCATCATTTGCTTATTGGAACTTTATGAAACATTTGATTTGGCCTCAAAAGATTATGTTTAAACCTGTTGTGGGAGTTTTAATTTGGTTAGGGTTTTTTTTTTGACAATGCTTTGAATTTTCTATTACTGTAAAACTAATATACAGTATAATGTTTATAGCAGTGATAACATGCAATTAACATAGTTTTGTTTGTTTTCCTAAGCACCAGTGACTCCCACCTCCCCATTATGTCTGAATGTCCCAGACAATCTGATGGGTATGGTAGGAGAAGGGGAACACATAGCAGCCATTCATGGTGTCATGGTTACACGCTTAACAAGGAATAATGCTGCCATAATTGCTTATGCTAAGAAGGTATTTGACACTACTGATCTGAGTGAAGCACAATGGAAGCAGTGTGAAGATCAGATGAAGGTAATTCTTTGTACGATTTGAACTATAGCTAGAGACCCTTTTTCTGTGGATTATGATTTTCTGTTTGAGTACTTGGTGTAGTTGTAATTGTGTATGAACTTAATTTTGGGGGATATGTTTCTTGGAGAATGAGAATATGTACAACCCTATAAACTATAACTTAATTAACAAGAACAGATGCTCTTCAAGGATGAAAAACATTCATATATTATATAAAACAAAGTAATTTGGTTACTTGGAGATGACAGCTTGAGAAATAATGTTGATGTTGGAGTTAAGGTTCTGTGGGTGCTGGGGACACTAGCATCACTTTGAGATAATGCGACATTTATTGGCTGGAAGAATGTAAACTAACAATGCCTGTCTGGGTGCCTTCAAGACATTTTTAATGTATTTAGCAGCCTATGTGAGCACTTTCAAGCAGATGCATCACCCATTCATTCTAGACATGAGTTGAAGATGCACGTGGGTGCTGGGTCTGAATCATTAAATGTTCCTAAAAAGGTTGCAAATTGCTGGTTAAAAAATGTAGTACAGTATAAATGAAAATGTGAGAATTACAAATATATGGGGGACCCCTGGAAATGCACAGAATTTAAATTTTAGTTTATTATTATTATATATACAATAAAGTACAGTGGAACGTCGATATTACACAAGATACGTTCCAAGAGAGGTCGCTTTAAACCGAATTCGCACTAAATCGAAGTGTTGTTTCATGGAATAATTTAGTTTGGTACTTGAAACAAAAGACTAAGAGACTACCCAGATGCACCTCAGCCAATCTCCTAGAATAAACAAAAAATTTTTTTTGTAGTATTATGTTAAAACAAACACTCATAAATCAACACAGCTAAAATTATGGGACGTGAAATGGCTGTTTACTAGCGATCAGCTGATGTGAAGATTGGAGGGGGATGGGTGAGGTGATATGTTTGACAGCTGATGCCAAGCTCTAGGGCTTATTTATTTATCTGTCCTTAAGAGTGACTTTAAGTTTTTCTCTTATAAAATGTCACTGAACTGACATGTTCTAATTAATTTTATTACAAAGGGCAAAGAAATTTTGTCTCGTGCAAAATATATGACGTTTATATGCAAATTATTCACTGGCTTGCAAGGATTCTAGCAATTCAAATTATATTATCCTAACCTTAGTCTGTGATATTATATAAGATAAAAACTGTAAGCCTATAACTACCAAACCCAGGCTGGGAAGATGGGGGGGAGGGGGGTGACAGTGACACGTTTGACAGTTGGGGCCGAAGGTCTAGTGAAGTATTTATTTGCTTATTTATGTCCTTTAGATTGAGTTTTTATTTTTTTCTTATAAAATGTCACAGAAGTGACCGGGGAGAATATAATTTACATTACTGGAATTCTTATAAGATGTAATATAATCATGCTATAGTTTGCACTAGACAAAAATTTTAGTAATCATTCAGTACATTATTTTGAGTATATATACAGTACAGCTTTGCCCTTAGGACAGTGTAGCGTGCCCAGAGAAACATGAGGCGCAAATTTTAAAATATGATGTGCCAGATTGACTCAGGCAAAATAGGAAAGATTCACTTTAAATTAAAACATTGTCCTTAATTGTGGGTGTCGCTTTAAATCAATAATCTTAAATTGAATCGCTTTAAATCGACGTTCTACTGTACTTTTCTTTGATAAGCATAAACAAATGTTTTTAAAGTATATATACTCTTCTTTTAACAGATGAATGTGGTGTTCCAACTTCTTCAAGCCAAGAAAATGGAGGCAGAGCGATTAGAACAACAAGGGAAAGTTAAATATGAGTATGATTCAGATGAAGATGTTGACGGTGGCACCTGGGAACACAAAAGGTTAGACAAATTTTCTGTGTTGACCTAATTAAGTGTTCTTGAGGATTTAATTTGCGAGACTTAATGCCTGGGATGAAGGCCCTGTCAAGTAAAAAGAAATTATGTTTGGTTTCTTGGTTATTGTACTTAATCTTTTGCCAACTGGTAGTAAGTACCATATATACACATAAACAATGAAGACTTGATTCGGGGCTTAATGTCATGGTGTGTTGGTCTGAGGCCATGATCTTGGATCAGAAGTGATGGTATCATTTTGAAAAACAAATTATACAAATTATCATCTTGTTTAGACAAAAGCTATTTTCTGAAGAACTCTTTATCTACTATTGAAGGTTATATCATTCCTTAGCAGACCTTGCCAAATTTGGTGATTTTTTAGTTTCTTATAAATCAGTATGAGTAATACATTTAAAATATTCTGACACTGTTTCACCTTGTTCAAAAATCTTCAGGAGAGCCAAAGAAATGCAGGAAACACATGCAAAAGCAACAGAGCTGACAAATATGGCAGAAGGAAAGCATCACATTGGTGACTTCTTACCACCAGATGAATTAGCAAGGTTCATGGAGAAGGTATGTTCTCTGGTAGATATTTAAAAAAGAATGATGAAGAGACCCAGTGTACTTTTTGATACGAGTTAAAGTAAAAAAAAATTCTGAACACTATAAACTTTTAAGACCATTGACATTCAAGTTTTGCTATAAATCCCAGACTTAACCCTAAGATGTCATAGGTCTGGGGAAGATGGCTGTTGAGATTCACAACATTGTATGAACAGGGTGTCTACTGGTCTGGAAAACCTGGAAGAGGCATGGAATTTTACAACTACCCATTGTGAATTCAGCCCAACTTCAAAATATTGTTACTTTGACAACAATCTTACCATACAATAATGCTGTACTATATAAAAGGTAAATACCGTATATGGCGACTTATAAGTCGACCATCCATTTCAAGCAAAAAAATCTGGTCATAGAGGTATACCTACTGTATAAGTTGACTCCCCAACTCCAGCAGCTGTCAGGTGTTGTGAAGGACCAAGTCAATCATCAAAACACATACATAAACAGGTAAGCAGTCAAACAAGCCACTCTGGACATGACGTCACACAACGCCATTAGTGACTGACCCAACAATCACAACAACACTGACCTCAGTTGACTTCCTGCTCATTCCACCACAGTTTCACACACTTGATCACACACACTCTTAGAACATCAATAACTACTGAGAAAAACTTTATTTCGTCCATAATAGAAATAGAGCAATTATATTAAAGATAAATATGAAGGTTGTAATACAAAATACTCTCACTTACGGTCAGGATTTTAGAGGTCATCATTTTATACCCATCGTATAAGTTGACCCCCTAACTTTGGACACTAAAAATTTTGCTTCAAAGGTTGACTTATATGCCGCCATATACGGTAATTAAACTTTTAGGAACAAAATTCCAGCAAATAATCCACTCTAATAACTGAATTGTTTGTGTACTTGTCATATTTCATGTTAGCGATCAAATAACCAAATATTACAGGTTATACCTACTAATTCTGCAATTATTATTGTCAGAGATGAATAAGTTATTATAGTTAAGTGACTTTATTTAATTGGCTTATTCTGCATACAGTGATATCCCCGTTAGCCGGAACAATTGGTGCAGAGCACTTACTGGAATGAGAGATTTCTAGGTAATGAGATGACTCTTTCAAAGCCGGAAAAATCCCTCATCTCCGGAATTTTCTGGGTAGCGGAAAAATTTTCTCTGAAGTTCCAGAAATTGCCCATTACATCATAACTTGAACCCGGAAAAATTTCCATCATCCCCATAATTTTCCGGGTAACAGAAAAAATTTCTTGGAATTTCCAGAAAATGCACCTGATTTTCATCTATCAATCCCCCCCAAAAAAATCCCCCATCCCCGGAATTTTACGGGTAACGAGAAAATTTTCTCAGACTCTTCGGGAAATGTGCCCCTCGGAAAATCGTTCCCAAAGCCGGAATTTTCCGGAAAATTTCGGCTTTGGGAACAATTTTTCGAGAAAATTTCAATTTTGGCTATTGGAGAGTTCCGAGTTTAAGGGATTCCGGGTAACTGATATATTACTGTATTTATCATGGGTTATTCTGTATGCTATAGGTGGATCTGGGGTGTGATTTTTCGTTTTTGGCCACATTTCCGGCCTTTTGGGAATTTCCAGGTTGACCCTTGTGAATCACGCAAATCCAGGGAGAAAAATATGGAAGGGGGAGGTCAAGGTCTTTGCTGATGTTCATCACTAGGCCTAATAATCATCCTGATCATAGCTGGTTAAATAAAATAGTCAGCCCAGTAGCCAGTGGCAATTATCATTGTAAAATTTTTAAATTCTGTACATAATACTGTATGTACATATTGAAAACCTGTAATTTTGTTATTCTGTCATAATAAATGATGAATTCATGTGCCTGGAAAAGCCAGGGGTTTTTTTTCTGGCCAGTAGACACCCTGATGAATGACATGTCATGAATAAATGAAGAATCCAATGTAGTGTATGACAACTTGCATGTATTGAGTTCCAAATTCTGTTAATTGAGATTGTTTTCTTTTTTTTCATCCATTTTTTATATTACAGTATCGGGCAATAAAGGAAGGACGGGATCCAGATCTTTCAGACTACCAACAACACAAGCTTACAGAAGACAATGTTGGATACAGGATGTTGAAGAGCATGGGGTGGACTGAGGGAATGGGCCTTGGTGCAGAAGGAAAGGGAATAACAACACCTGTTAACCAGTAAGTTGAGTGTATATCACTGAGGCTCCATGCTTATCCTGGATGCCATCTCACCATCTAGCAAGGATTTCCATGTAAGATCCACAGGATAAGTAGAATCAGTTAGTTACATCAAAAACAATTAGTTATCCCAGCTTCTTCTCAGGGGTACTCTAACAAAATAACCAGTTGGTTAAAACAATTTACTAGACTGTTATATACTCTACCTCTATGTTTTATATGTACGGTAATATCTCCGTTAGCCGGAATCCCTCAAACCTGGAATGTCCGATAGCCGGAATTGAGATTTTCTCGGAAAATCGTTCCCAAAGGCCGAATTTTTTGGAAAATTCCGGCTTTGGGGAAAATTTTCCGAGGGGCACATTTTCCGGAAAATAACAAGAAAATTTTTTGCCGATATCTGGAAAATTCCGGGGATGGGGGAGTTTTTTCCAGGTTTGAGAGTTGAAGATCGGGCGCATTTTCTGGAAATTCTGAGAACAGTTTTCCATTACACGGAAAATTCAGGGGATGAGGGATATTTTTCTGGGTTTGAGAGATGATGTAAGGGGCAATTTCTGGAACTTCCGAGAACATTTTTCCCTTACCCGGAAAATTCCAGAAAATTTCGGGGACGAGGGATTTTTTTCTGGCTTTGAGAGAGTCGTCTCATTACCTGGAAATCTCTCATTCCCGGAAGTGCTCTGCATCAATTGTTCTGGCTAACGGAGATATCGCTGTACAGGTACTGTACTACATATATTTAACGTGTCCCACTATTTAGCCAGTGCTGTAATTGCACTTTCATTATAATATGTTAGCCCCTTTCATTACTAAACTACTGTAATGCATTATCAAATAATTACCATATTATGATTGTTAATCAGTTCAATAAGTTTTGTCTGTGAGTATATGGATAATTAAATATTTTCTTGATAATAGGAATGGACGTTCAGAGAGTCAAGGCTTGGGTGTGGAGAGGCCTGAAACTCTTCAAGAAGAAGATGATGAGTATGATGCTTACAGGAAGCGCATGATGCTGGCATACCGTTTCCGGCCTAATCCTTTGGTAATTATACAAGTAATTGTGTAACATTATGAGAATGTCCTATATCTTTAATGCAGAGGTGTGGGAGTTGAGTCAGTACAGTACTGTACTGGACTCTTGTCATCACCTCTAATCCAAACTGTGAATAGGAACTTAACTTTGCATTTAGGGAATTGAAACCATATAAATACAATTCTAACCACTCTGGCTCCTTGTCTATCAAACAAAGGTATATTTTTCAGTGTAGTGTATCCACACTGCCCCCTAAAGAACCACCAGGCCTACATGACTCACTTTCACTTTCATATAATTATTCTGCTCTCTTCATTGCTTTCAGTAAGAGACATTGAGAAAATATCTAGAAACCATGACTCAGTATTTTTAAATCATAATGTTTTATCTCATCTTTCAGAACAATCCAAGACGAGCATATTACTGAAGATAAAGAAGTTGGTAGAAGAATCATTGTTCAAAATGAAAGAAAAATGGTTATAACCACAAAAGCAACAGAGTTTCAGTGATGAAGGTCATATGTTACGTACATTGCTCTTTGTATCATGTTATTCCATTATCTAAGTCTTCATATTGGAAAGATTTGTTACAGTACACATTATACATACATTTGGAAGTTCCACTTTATATCTTCAAGCTTTTATAAAAAGTTTTTGCTTATTTATCCATAATTTCTAACCTAGTACTGATATCGGGTGACTCAGAAACAATCAGCAAGTCCGCTAGATTCTCAGGAACATGAAACTTTAGGCAAGAATATCATAAAATGATTATTTTTAAAACTTGAGACTACCCCAGTCATAACAGATTTCTTGAAAAAGACACTTGGGAATATTGTTATCCCTATGAAATAGAGGAAGGTGATTAAGAAGTCTTTGCCGCCATGTAAGCATGCATGCTTCATCCCCATTTTGTATTTGATAACATAAAACAACACCTCAGTTCCAGTTGTGGGTAGATGCTACCTCCCTCTGCTCCTGTTAGAAGCTAAGTGCTTCTAAGTGTTTGCATTATGTTTAAACAGAATGTTTCATATGCATTGCAAGTGTTTACAGACCTGGTTTATGGGTTAGCCAGTGTGTTTGAGATGCAGTGCCTTCATATCCCAGCAGTGTGCCTACACATTGTGTAATTCAACTTGTCAACAGATGGTTTTATCCAGATTTATTTGTTTGGCTCCAGGCTTCTCCGAAGATACTTGGGGATGATTCAAATAGAAACAAGGATAACTCAGTACAGATTGTCAGTGCAGGTAGGTTGGTTATTGACCATTTTTCCCTACTAAGTCTGAGTTACCCCCAAAATCACATTACCCACACTCAGTTTTAACATGTTCCAAGCCAGTTATTCCCAGATAGTGCACTCATAAGGGAATTAGTAAGGGATATTCCTTTCATTAATTATTTTCATTGGCTCATGGTGCTTGTTGGCTATTGTGCTCATATATTGTGTAAGGATGTTTATCTTTAATTGAATGGCAGTACTGTATTGGACATATAATGTTAAAGGTATAGGAAAAGGGATTCTTGATATTCAAGATGAACTGGGAGGTCAGGATACATAATTTGTTAGTTTGTGAGCTCTGGCACCATGCTTTGGATAACTATATAAGTGCCATATTTATTTTGTGAATGTTACCCTCCGAACTGTTTGACTTTAATTTGAAGAGCATATCGTCATTTCTTTGTCAAGCTATCAATATGGGTCATTCAACTCAGGTATTGTAGAGGATGGATGTCTCCTGGCTACTGAGGGGGTTTTCTGGGTTTCTCCCTTGTTTATGAGTTGGGGCGAAGAGGATATTTCATTACCTGTAACACCTTTCCAAGAATTTTAGTATCCAAGCTCCTTGCCTTGCTCTGCAAGTAGTGTATGGGGTCCTCTCTATGCTGAATAAAATCATCTGACATAAGCCATATAAAATATTGAAAGTGGCATTCTTGTAGTGAAGGAAAGTTTTCACTGGAGGACTTGGAGCTTCCTATATGAAAAACTATCCATATCACCCACACCTCAGGGAGAGGAGTATTTGATCTACATGGTCTGAGGAGATGTTGTTTCATCCCCATCCTTATGATAGTCCAGTTTTGGACCGACCCAAAAATTCTTACCAAAAAAAAAAAATTTTTTTTTTTCCTGAGATTATTTAGTTCCAAGCTGGAATATGATTTACTCTTCTCAATATTGGTGATGGCAGCTCTTGACTTTATAAGGTAACATCTCTTTAATCATTATTCTAAGGTGGAAAACAGTCATAAAAGTTGTTTTGTCATACTTGGTTTTCATGCACAGAGGCTTGGGTATTAGCTAAAAAAATTATTATTCAGTGTCATAGTACACGTACTCCTCGACTTACGACAACCCAGATATACGACTGCTGTGGTGTGGTCGTATAAAATATTTTTTAAATTACGTATTTTCTAGTACCGAAATGTTTCGGTCCCGTACGACAGCGTGGTTTGGGCTGCCTGGTGGTGTACAGCATCCACGCTGTTGCCTGCTCAGTTGGTGTTTGGCCGTCGTTGTTGTCGTTAGTGATCGCGCTGTGTACGGACAAAAAAAAATTTCTAATCCCTTTTAAAATGACTGGCAAGCCTAAAAGTGAGAGTTCTCGTGGTGCTGAGAAGAAAAAGAGACTCAATTACTTTTGAGATGAAAATGAAAAAAATAATGCAATATGAAAATGGAAAAACAGTAGCGACCATTTCACGCGACCTTGGCTTCTCTCACTCGACGATATCAACAATTTTGAAGGACAAGGAACGAATTCGTGAGGTAGTGAAAGGATCAGCACCTGTAAAGGGAACAATAATATAAAAAAAAAGACAAGCTCCTCTTCATGAGATGGGAAAATTACTTGTGATGTGGATTGAAGATCAACTGCAAAAGCGTGTACCCTTAAGCCTTCTAACCATACAGGCTAAGGCAAGAAGCCTTTTCAAAAGCCTGAAAGAGCAGGCAGGAGATGAGTGCGACCAAAACTTCACAGCAAGTCATGGTTCTAAAGGTTTAAGAACCGTTACAGTTTGCACAGTGTAAAGGTGAATGGAGAGGCAGCAAATGCTGATGTGGATGCTGCCGAAGCTTTTAAGGAGCTAGATCGTGTCATCGTGGAGGGAAATTATTTGCCTAAGCAAATATTAAATGTGGATGAAACTGGCCTATTCTGGAAGCGCATGCCAGAGCGGACATACATCCACAAAGAGGCGAAAACCATGCCGGTATTCAAGGCATTCAAGGACCGAATCACACTTCTGTAGCTGGTTTCAAGGTAAAACCCTTCATTATATATCATTCAGAGAACCCAAGGGCTTTTAAAAATGTCAGCAAACACACACTGCCAGTGTTTTATCGCAGGAGTATTGTCTGCAACAAGGGGTTGCGTTCAGTATTTTATTAATTTTAGATAATACTCCGGGACACCCACCACACCTGGACGACCTGCACCCTGATGTTAAGGTAGTCTACATTCCACCTAACGCTACCTCTTTCATCCAACCCATGGATCAAGGTGCTATTGCTGCTTTTAAAGCGTATTATTTATGTACGAACTTTGCTCAGAGAGTTTTGGAAGGACTACAACATTTTGCAATGTACAAAGAACATAACTCCAGCTTGGGATGAGGTTACAGGTCATTGCATGAATGGAATATGGAAGAAGGTCCTGAAAAGATATGTGAACAGTTTCAAAGGATTTAATGAAGATGAAGCAATTTCTGAGATTAGTAACAAGATAGTACAGTTTGGTAAACAGCTGGAGTTAGAAATTGATAATGACGATGTTAAGCACTTGATGGAAAGTGTAGCAGAAGAGCTAAGTAACGAGGATCTTATTGAACTGGATGCACAGAAAATTGCAGAGGAAGAAGAGAGACAAAATGTATATGAATCTGCACCCCCAAAAATGTTTCGGTACAACAAATGGCAGAGGCATTTGCTACCATTAATAAGGGGATGCAAATTTTTGAAGAAATGGATCAAAATGTTGAGCATTTTGCAAAAGTTGACAGACTGATCCAAGATGCACTTGCTTGCTACAGGGAGATTTACAATAAAAAGAAAAGGCAAACTGTCCAGTCTAAATTGGACATATATTTTAAGAAGTCCCCTACTGTTGTCTTCTCATGCCCCACCACTGCTGCCTCTTCACTCCCTAAAGATGATCCAATACCTTCAACAAGCAAGTATGTTAGCCTGTCTGAAGAAAGCAAAATTGGTGACCCACCCAGCCCTGTCTTCTCCTCTGCTTCATCCAATTATGTAGTCTCCATGTTTAATTAAAAAATTATTGAGGCCCTGTGTGCATTCAGCTGACTACATTAAAGCTAAGTGCACAGTAACACTTTATTCATTTTTCATTATTGATTACTTTTACTGTACCTTATTTCAATTTTCGAATATCTATATTATTTTCGCATTTTCGACTTACGACCTGGTCGTCGTGATGGAACCTCGTCGTAAGTCGAGGAGAGACTGTAATATGATATTTCTTGGACTTGCGATTGTACACTTAATCTCCCTTCTGTTACCTATGTTGGATTAGATAGTGTGACTCTAAGTAGAGTACATTTTTTGTGAGCACATAGAGCTTATTGGTGCCTTCTACCTCCCTATTCTTGCTAGCTTGTGTATACTGTACATGAGACACCTGAGACCAGCATTACATGAGTAATTCAAATCAAGGATTGATCCATGTCCTATTCATTAACTGAGCTGGGATCATGCTATTCATATCCCTTCCCTTCTGTTGGAGTGATAGATAGGCTGGATCTTGTAGCTCTGTTTTCTAAATAAACCAAAACAAAACTAGAGAAAAGGGGCATGCCTACTCATGTGGTGGCAAACACTCCTTAACTTTCTCCCTCTGTTTTATAGGGGGACTGCCATACCAAGTGTCTCCATTAAAGGAATCTGGCAGGGTTAAGAAGCATATCTTGAATTATTTTTTTTTTTTTTAGATTCTTATCACAATCACAAGTTTTGGGTCCCAGGGAACTTGGTTTTCATCCTGAAAATTGTTGATTATACAAGAGTTGCCTGATCCTGGTTCAGTTGGAAAATGGCATACTGTATTAAGATCAATCATTCACTTCTAACTGCACATAATTAAGACTGAGTTCTTAAGGGATAACACTTGTAAAGTATTATAATATCGTTTTGCCAGCATCATTTGTTGAGTTAAGGACAAATAACTTTAAAGACACAGGTATGGGCCTTTTTGGTCTAGAAATATGATACAATTGACAAACTTTATTTATTTTAAATTTTATTTTTTCACAAAATAGAAAGTACCAATATCATACAAATACTTATGGGTTTTAAAATATTTGCATAGAAATTCTCCTCTCCATGAAAAATAAATAAATTGATAAGAATATTAGATACAGTAATAGGTAAATTATCTCACTTGAAATATACTTGAAAATTATATGTGGGAACATAAGTGCAGAGGCTTTTATGCCTCTGGTGTCAGTACAGTATACAGTTTGGTCATCCCTCACTCTGTTCTAGGGGAAACATCTCCGAAGACTGGCTAGCTCCAGTCATGTTACGTATCGGGTATGTAAAAAAAACATTACCAACACTTGTTGTTGTTCCATTAAGTATTATTTAGTAATGCTCATTTGAAAGGAAATTGCTCTTTTCATTCTTACTTGACTTGTGATTAATTGTAAATACCCCGAGGATCTAAGGAAATGTATGGAAACCATCTTTTTCCTCTTTCTTTTAAGATTATTTAGTTAAAGTATTGGACAGACCTCCACTTGGGCCTGCACCTCAATACCTGGACTGCCATTCACCTCTGAACATTATGATATAAGTAATACTATTTAGACATGTTTCACTATAATTACAGGTAACCTCAAATGCTACTTCACACTATAAACCACTGGCAGCACTTTTGTTACTAGCAATGGGCATTGCTTTATTTTTTTTTTTCAGGGATTTTAAAAACCTCAGTGTCCAAATGTGGTTATCAGCATATACAGTATATATAAGGAATATTTCCGTTAGCCAAAATTGAAGTTTTCTTGGAAAATAACTCTCAAAGCTGGAATTTTCCGGAAAATTCCAGCATTGGGAACAATTTTCCGAGGGGCACATTTTCTGTAAAATTCAGAGAAATTTTTCCCAGTACCTGGAAAATTCTAGGAATGAAGGATTTTTTTGCCGGAAATCTCTCATTCCCGGAAGTGCTCTGCAATAATTGTTCCGGCTAATGGAGATATCATTGTACATTCGATTAGTCATAATGATTTGATATTTTGGCATCTGAAAATAATGATCATAATGCTTATATTAACTACAGTTAAATAACTGATTTTATCTCCAGAGATTAATGTTAAGGGTTTCATGTTGCAGTAGAAAGTACAAATATGTATTTGGTAACCATCCACCTACAGTTCTGTAAGTAATGATGAAATTTACTTTTATATTTAGTACGGTATAGACCTTGATTTCTTTCCTAGCAAATGTCCATAAGCTAGACAGTTGTTATAATATAGATGGCTTATTGGGGAATTGGCTCCTCTTGTTTTCTGCTATAATGTACGGTATGCCAGGGTTGACGTGTTAACCTACTGGATATTTTTTTTTTTTATTCAAGAACCCCAAGTGATTACTAAATTTTAGGACATGCAATAAACAGTGTAATCATATCATTGTGAAGAATATAAATGTTCTTCACAAAAGATAAAACTTTACTCCTACTGATTTTTAGGTTCCTGTTTATTACACGTCCTAAAATATAGCAATCACTTAAGGTTCTTGAATAAAAAAATTATCCTGTATATATGGATATGTCAATCACCCCCAGATGGGAAGATCGGGTGCACCATTTGTCCTAGTGAAGCACAAATTGGTGTAAGGCAAGTGTTTGTCCAATTAGTACACTTGGCATCAAGGCTTCTTTCCTTTATATTTGATTACTGGGTTATTCTGCCATTTTTAAATTCATTCCCTACTTGGCTGCCTTTTACCACAAAATCTTAGTTGGTAGGAACTTATATGGTTCTAGATGTTATCATGTAAGACTAATGTTTGGTCTTGTGGTTTATTGATTCATGATGCGGTTTATTTGTTACTGGCCTTTACAAGACGTGGTTAAGATTGTATGCCGAGGTGGCTGGGCTTAGCTCCAGGCCTTGCCCCAGTGCAGGTTACTTCTAACAGAAGTTGGCTTGTGGATATATGATAGACGTGAGCCTGGTGCTGGTTTGTGGGGCTTGTTGGACACTACTGGATGTTAGAGTCACTATTCAATTTTCTTGGGGAATTTGGCATGCTAATGTTTGATTCCCATAGTTCAGTCATACTTCAATCTTTTAGGGGTCTACAGCTTGCTAAAATAGATTGGGCCAGGCTTGGGAGCTGTTAGTGTTGTTGCCCTAGTTTTGCCACAGAACAGCACTCAATGAACGTTCTAGTCGCTGCCTGCCTTGTGAGGATATTTGTTGCACTTAACATTCTAATGGGGACTAATTGGTGTGACGGAGAGGGAAGGGTGGTTGGTATACCCTAAATGTGGAACCACACTTTATTGTATTATGAGGGACGATCCCTTACCCCCCAGTAAGCAGCCTGTATTACAATATCTGCCTGGCTATGAGCTCTGCTAGAAAATAAGATTTCAGGATCAGTCTCCATTTTTTACTCATACTGCTGTAGGCTCAGCCATGCTGTCCATTTATAAATGCCATGCCAACTGAGAATCTTTAGCCATTTACTATACTGTACTAGGTGTTTTCCTGCATAAGTGCAATGTGAATATAATTTTCCAGTACAACCAGCGTATATAATCATTAAATTTCATAGAGAAAAAAAATGCTTTATGTAGTGGCAATAATTTTTCCACACAGCTGTTGTTTAGTTAAGATTATTGCATTACCATTGCTTTCAGTTTTTAAATAAGAACCTTGATTCTTTTATAGTTTGACTGCCATGAATATAGAAAGACAAGCAAACTGATTATACTGTAGTCATTTTTATTTAGTTTTCATTGTATAAGTAAAACAAAAACAGTACAGTATTAGTAAATTGAGACACGTGTTGAATTATTCTTGTTTTTACAGGACCTTAATACGGTACCACTATGAATTATAATGCGCCTGTCATAATTTTGACGGTCACAGTACAGTATGCACGTACAGTATAAATATAAATCATAAACTTTTTATTCCATTTGATAGAGTTTGCCAGTTGAAAGGATTTCTTGTACAGAAATATATTCAGAGGTATTTATAAGGCCAAGATGCTGTAGTATTTTCTTCCTTCTCTTAGTTAAAGTTTGGCCTTCGTCCTTCAGACAGTAAGATATATTTAGTGTCAAGTCAGACCATGACTAACATGTACAATTTTCAGAGTTTTTTATGGGGGGCTGCACTATAAAGAAAACACATTCTTATAGTAATTAAAATATACATACAGTATATACTGGTAAAGGGACATTCTATGTGATTTAAGGAATGATCAAATGGAATGTGTATTTTTGCTTAAAACATTTCATAACTGAGCATAGGCATGAAGCTGACATAATCATGGTCCAGATTTATTTTATTGGCTCCTAATGTTACTATAGCTGTGGCATTAGCCAATCATAATGTGCAAAGTGTTCCTCAGTGATAGATCTACTGGAGAAGTGCACTTACATTACTGTATTTTGAAACTTGTAACCAGATGTGGTTGCCAGTAATAAAATATTTTGCATTTAACTTGATTTCACTAAAACCCTTCTAACACTCAACACATTCCTCTTAACACCACACACACCCCTCTAACACACCACACACACCCCTCTAACACACCACACACACCCCTCTAACACACCACACACACCCCTCTAATACACCACACACACCCCTCTAACACACCACACACACGTTGCTCCATGGAGGGCCCATGCGTGCGCCGCTGCACTTGGGAGGGCCTCTGTGGGCACCACGGCCACTGGGAATGCTTCTGGGGGCGCCTCCACCCCTGGAACGGCTCCTTGGAGCGCCATCGTCCCTGAAAGGTCCCTGGGGGCGTCACTGCCCTTGGGAGGGCACCCTAGGAGTGCCACAGCCCCTGTACGGTTCTCTAGTGGTGCCTCTGCATCTGGGAGCACTCCTCGGGCCACCGCTGCCCTTAGTAGGGCCCTTGGATGGCCCCTGGGGTGCCACACCCCCTGGTAGGACCCCTGAGGGCTCTGGTGCACCTGCAATGGCCCCTGAGGGCGCCGCCGCCCCTTGGAGGGCCCCTAGGGCGCCAACGCTCTTGTAAGGGCCTCTCTTACCGCCTCAGCATTTGGGAGGGTCCTTTGGGGCGCCGCCGCACTTGGGAGCGCCGCCGACCATGAGAGGGCCCCCTAGGATCACCGCCTCCCTTTGGGGTGCCACCGCCTGTGCAATGGCCCCTGGGGATGCTACAACTCCTGGCAGGGCCCCTGGGGTCGATGCTTCTCCTGAAAGGGCTCCATGGAGCGCCACCGCCCCTGAGAGAGGAACTGGGTGCCCCGTTGCTTCTGCGAGGACTCCTTGAGACGCAGTACCTGGTAGGGCCCCAGGGAGCGCTGCCCCTGAAGGGCCCATGGGAGCAGTTGTTATTGCATTATTTACAACAATGGGAGATATGACGTTAAATAAATATACCGCCCATCGCATTTCCAGTGTCGTCGCATCATTAACAATGTAAAGAATAGTAAATATCCAACAGGAAAACATAAGTTGGGGTGTTGTGCTGACCGACTACTCTGTTCTAGTATTGGCTGTTATTTAGTGTATTTACATTTTAGTCCACCAATCACGGTTAAATAAGGGATTTCTGGACGTATGCAATGTGTGCGACACCACGACCAAGCAAGCTATAGGGTTCCTGCAAGGGACTGCCTCTAATAGGGCCCCTGGGGTTACCGCCGCCTCTGGGAGGGCCCCTGGGAGCTCTGCCAACCCTGGGAGGGCCCCGGCGGGCGCCACTGCACCCATCAGGGCCCTGGGGGCACCACAGCCCCTGAAAGAGGCTCTGGGGTTGCCACAGCCCCTGTCAGGGCACTCCGGGGGCTTCCCTACCTTTGGGAGGGCCCCTGGGAACGCTGCTGTCCATCAGAGGGTCCCGGAGGGCACCGCCGCTCCTGGGAGGACCCTTAGGGCACCACAGCTTCTGTAAGAGGTCCTGGGGGTGCTACAGACTCTGGCAAGGTCCCTCGGGTATCCGCTACCTTTGTGAAAGCCCCTGGGGGCGCCGCTGCCCCTGCAAGAGCATCTAGGGGTGCCACTGCCAATGGGAGGGCCCCTGGGGGCGCCACCGTTCTTGGCAGAGCCCCTGATTTCACCGCCTCCCCTAATGTGGACCTTTGGGGACGCTGCCTCCATTGGAAGGGACCCTAGGGATCCGCCACCCTCGTAGGGGCCCCTAACAGCGCCTCGGCATCTGTGAGGGTCCTTGGAGGCTGCGTGACCCTTGGGAGGGCACCTGAGAGCACTGCCGACCCTGGGAGGGCCCCCTGGGAGCGCCACAGCCCCCCACAGACCCCTTCGGGGCGCTACTGCTCCTGAGAGGTCCACTGAGTGCGCCGTCGCTCCTGCCAGTGCCACTTGGTGTGCCGCACCTGGTAGGGCAAATGGGAGCGCTTCCCCTGTAGGGCCTCTGGGGGCAGTTGTTTTTGCACTGTTTAGAACAATGGGAGATATAACGTTAAATAAATACACCGCCCATTGCATTTCCAGTATCATCGCATCATGAGCAATGTAAAGGAGAATACATATCCAATAGGAAAACATAAGTTGGGGTGTTGTGCTGACTGACAGCTCTGTTCTCCTATTGGCTGTTATTTGGTGTATTTACATTTTAGTCCACCAATCACAGTTAAGTAAGGGATTGCTGGACATATGCAATATGTGCCACATGGTGCGCCGCACCTGGTAGGGCAAATGGGAGTGCTTCCCCTGTAGGGCCCCTGGGGGCAGTAGTTTTTGCACTGCTTAGAACACTGGGAGATATGACGTTAAATAAATACACCGCCCATCGCTTTTCCAGTATCATCGCATCATGAACAATGTAAAGGAGAATAAATATCGAACAGGAAAACATAAGTTGGTTTGTTGTGCTGACTGACTGCTCTGTTCTCCTATTGGCTGTTATTTGGTGTATTTTACATTTTAGTCCACCAATCACAGTTAAGTAAGGGATTGCTGGACATATGCAATATGTTCGATACCACAACCAAGCAATCTATAGGGATCCAGAAAGGCAACGGGTCTAATAGGGCCCCTGGGATCGCCTCCCCCTCAAGGAGGGTCCCAGGAGTATCGCCAACCATGGGAGGGCCTCAGGGGGCGCTGCCCCTCCTGGCAGGGCCCTGGGGATGCCAAAGTCACTGGTAGACGCCTTGGGGGTGCCCCAGCTCCCGGCAGAGCCCCTGGGGCTCTGCCACCTTCCTTCGGGAGCACCCCTGTGAACGCCGCCACTCCTGGGACGGTTTCAGTGGGCACTGCAGCCCCTTGGATGTCCCTGGAGGTGCCACTGCCCCTGGGATGGTCTTTGGGGGCACCACCGCCCCTGGCAGGGCCCCTGGGGTCGCTGCCTCCCTTAAGGATGGACCCTGGGGACGCTGCCTCCCTTGGGAGGGCCCTAGGGGCGCCGCCGTTCTTGTAAGTGTCTCTCTTGGTGCCTCAGCATTGGGAGGGCCCCTTGGGGCGTCGCCGCCCTTGGGAGGTGCCTCTGTGAGCGCCGCCGACCCTGGGAGGGCTTTGTGGCAGCACCACCACTCCTGGGAAGGACCCTGGGGCTGCCACCGCCCTTACAAGCACCCCTGGGAGCACTACAGCTCCTGGGAGGCCCCTGAGGACGCTGCTGCTCCTGAGAGGTCTTCGGGGAGAGTTGCCACCCCTAAGGATGGCCCCTGGGGGCGCCACAGCCACTGAAAGGACCACTGGGTGCCCCATCGCTCATGTAAGGGACCCTTGGGACGCTGCACTTGATAAGGCTAATGGGAGGGCACCAGGGAGCACTACCCCTGTACGACCCCTGTGGTAGTTGGTTTTGCACTATTTACAACAATGTGAGATATGACGTTAAATATATACACCGCCCATCGCATTTCCAGTCTCATCGCATCATGAACAATGTAAAGGAGAATACATATCCAACAGGAAAACATAAGTTGGGGTGTTGTGCTGACTGACAGCTCTGTTCTCCTATTGGCTGTTATTTGGTCTATTTACATTTTAGTCCACCAATCACAGTTAAGTAAGGGATTGCTGGACATATGCAATATGTGCCACTTGGTGTGCCGCACCTGGTAGGGCAAATGGGAGAGCTTCCCCTGTAGGGCCCCTGGGATCAGTAGTTTTTGCACTTTTTAGAACACTGGGAGATATGACGTTAAATATATACACCGCCCATTGCATTTCCAGTATCATTGCATCATGAACAATGTAAAGGAGAATACATATCCAACAGGAAAACATAAGTTGGGGTGTTGTGCTGACTGACAGCTCTGTTCTCCTATTGGCTGTTATTTGGTGTATTTACATTTTAGTCCACCAATCACAGTTAAGTAAGGGATTGCTGGAAATATGCAATATGTGCCACTTGGTGCGCCGCACCTGGTAGGGCAAATGGGAGTGCTTCCCCTGTAGGGCCCCTGGGGGCAGTAGTTTTTGCACTGCTTAGAACACTGGGCGATATGACGTTAAATAAATACACCGCCCATCGCTTTTCCAGTATCATTGCATCATGAACAATGTAAAGGAGAATAAATATCCAACAGGAAAACATAAGTTCGGGTGCTGTGCTGACTGACTGCTCTGTTCTCCTATTGGCTGTTATTTGGTGTATTTACATTTTAGTCCACCAATCACAGTTAAGTAAGGGATTGCTGGACATATGCAATATGTTCGATACCACAACCAAGCAATCTATAGGGATCCAGAAAGGCGACGGCTCTAATAGGGCCCCTGGGATCGCCACCAACTCAAGGAGGGTCCCAGGAGTATTGCCAACCATGGGAGGGCCTCAGGGGGTGCTGCCCCTCCTTGCAGGGCCCTGGGGATGCCAAAGTCGCTGGTAGACGCCTTGGGGGTGCCCCAGCTCCCGGCAGAGCCCCTGGGGCTCTGCCACCTTCCTTCGGGAACACCCCTGTGAACGCCGCCACTCCTGGGAGGGTTCCAGTGGGTGCTGCAGCCCCTTGGATGTCCCTGGAGGTGCCACTGCCCCTGGGATGGTCTTTGGGGGCACCACCGCCCCTGGCAGGGCCCCTGGGGTCGCTGCCTCCCTTAAGGATGGTCCCTGGGGACGCTGGCTCCTTTGGGAGGGCCCTAGGGGCGCCGCCGTTCCTGTAAGGGCCTCTCTTGGTGCCTCAGCATTGGGAGGGCCCCTTGGGGCGTCGCCGCCCTTGGGAGATGCCTCTGTGAGCGCCGACGACCCTGGGAGGGCTTTGTGGCAGCACCACCATTCCTGGGAAGGACCCTGGGGCTGCCACCGCCCTTACAAGCACCCCTGGGAGCACTACAGCTCCTGGCAGGCCCCTGAGGACGCTGCTGCTCCTGAGAGGTCTTCGGGGAGAGTTGCCACCCCTAAGGATGGCCCCTGGGGGCGCCACAGCAACTGAAAGGACCACTGGGTGCCCCATCGCTCATGTAAGGGACCCTTGGGACGCTGCACTTGATAAGGCTAATGGGAGGGCACCAGGGAGCACTACCCCTGTACGACCCCTGTGGTAGTTGGTTTTGCACTATTTACAACAATGTGAGATATGACGTTAAATATATACACCGCCCATCGCATTTCCAGTATCATCGCATCATGAACAATGTAAAGGAGAATACATATCCAACAGGAAAACATAAGTTGGGGTGTTGTGCTGACTGACAGCTCTGTTCTATTGGCTGTTATTTGGTGTATTTACATTTTAGTCCACCAATCACAGTTAAGTAAGGGATTGCTGGACATATGCAATATGTGCCACTTGGTGCGCCGCACCTGGTAGGGCAAATGGGAGTGCTTCCCCTGTAGGGCCCCTGGGATCAGTAGTTTTTGCACTGTTTTGAACACTGGGAGATATGACGTTAAATAAATACACCGCCCATTGCATTTCCAGTATCATCGCATCATGAACAATGTAAAGGAGAATACATATCCAACAGGAAAACATAAGTTGGGGTGTTGTGCTGACTGACAGCTCTGTTCTCCTATTGGCTGTTATTTGGTGTATTTACATTTTAGTCCACCAATCACAGTTAAGTAAGGGATTGCTGGACATATGCAATATGTGCCACTTGGTGCGCCGCACCTGGTAGGGCAAATGGGAGTGCTTCCCCTGTAGGGCCCCTGGGATCAGTAGTTTTTGCACTTTTTAGAACACTGGGAGATATGATGTCAAAATAAATACACCGCCCATTGCATTTCCAGTATCATCGCATCATGAACAATGTAAAGGAGAATACATATCCAACAGGAAAACATAAGATGGGGTGTTGTGTTGACTGACAGCTCTGTTCTCCTATTGGCTGTTATTTGGTATATTTACATTTTAGTCCACCAATCACAGTTAAGTAAGGGATTGCTGGACATATGCAATATGTGCCACTTGGTGCGCTGCACCTGGTAGGGCAAATGGGAGTGCTTCCCCTGTAGGGCCCCTGGGATCAGTAGTTTTTGCACTGTTTAGAACACTGGGAGATATGACGTTAAATAAATACACCGCCCATTGCATTTCCAGTATCATCGCATCATGAACAATGTAAAGGAGAATACATATCCAACAGGAAAACATAAGTTGGGGTGTTGTGCTGACTGACAGCTCTGTTCTCCTATTGGCTGTTATTTGGTGTATTTACATTTTAGTCCACCAATCACAGTTAAGTAAGGGATTGCTGGACATATGCAATATGTGGCACTTGGTGCGCCGCACCTGGTAGGGCAAATGGGAGCGCTTCCCCTGTTGGGCCCCTGGGCGCAGTAGTTTTTGCACTGTTTAGAACACTGGGAGATATGACGTTAAATAAATACACCGCCCATTGCATTTCCAGTATCATCGCATCATGAACAATGTAAAGGAGAATACATATCCAACAGGAAAACATAAGTTGGGGTGTTGTGCTGACTGACAGCTCTGTTCTCCTATTGGCTGTTATTTGGTGTATTTACATTTTAGTCCACCAACCACAGTTAAGTAAGGGATTGCTGGACATATGCAATATGTGCCACTTGGTGCGCCGCACCTGGTAGGGGAAATGGGAGTGCTTCCCCTGTAGGGCCCCTGGGGGCAGTAGTTTTTGCACTGCTTAGAACACTGGGAGATATGACGTTAAATAAATACACCGCCCATCGCTTTTCCAGTATCATCGCATCATGAACAATGTAAAGGAGAATAAATATCCAACAGGAAAACATAAGTTGGGGTGTTGTGCTGACTGACTCCTCTGTTCTCCTATTGGCTGTTATTTGGTGTATTTACATTTTAGTCCACCAATCACAGTTAAGTAAGGGATTGCTGGACATATGCAATATGTTCGATACCACAACCAAGCAATCTATAGGGATCCAGAAAGGCAACGGCTCTAATTGGGCCCCTGGGATCGCCTCCCCCTCAAGGAGGGTCCCAGGAGTATCTCCAACCATGGGAGGGCCTCAGGGGGCGCTGCCCCTCCTGGCAGGGCCCTGGGGATGCCAAAGTCACTGGTAGACGCCTTGGGGGTGCCCCAGCTCCCGGCAGAGCCCCTGGGGTTCTGCCACCTTCCTTCGGGAGCACGCCTGTGAACGCCGCCACTCCTGGGAGGGTTCCAGTGGGTACTGCAGCCCCTTGGATGTCCCTGGAGGTGCCACTGCCCCTGGGATGGTCTTTGGGGGCACCACCGCCCCTGGCAGGGCCCCTGGGGTCGCTGCCTCCCTTAAGGATGGACCCTGGGGACGCAGCCTCCCTTGGGAGGGCCCGAGGGGCGCCGCCGTTCTTGTAAGTGCCTCTCTTGGTGCCTCAGCATTGGGAGGGCCCCTTGGGGCGTCGCCGCCTTTGGGAGGTGCCTCTGTGAGCGCCGCCGACCCTGGGAGGGCTTTGTGGCAGCACCACCATTCCTGGGAAGGACCCTGGGGCTGCCACCGCCCTTACAAGCACCCCTGGGAGCACTACAGCTCCTGGCAGGCCCCTGAGGACGCTGCTGCTCCTGAGAGGTCTTTGGGGAGAGTTGCCACCCCTAAGGATGGCCCCTGGGGGCGCCACAGCCACTGAAAGGACCACTGGGTGCCCCATCGCTCATGTAAGGGACCCTTGGGACGCTGCACTTGATAAGGCTAATGGGAGGGCACCAGGGAGCACTACCCCTGTACGACCCCTGTGGTAGTTGGTTTTGCACTATTTACAACAATGTGAGATATGACGTTAAATATATACACCACCCATCGCATTTCCAGTCTCATCACATCATGAACAATGTACAGGAGATTACATATCCAACAGGAAAACATAAGTTGGGGTGTTGTGCTGACTGACAGCTCTGTTCTCTTATTGGCTGTTATTTGGTGTATTTACATTTTAATCCACCAATCACAGTTAAGTAAGGGATTGCTGGACATATGCAATATGTGCCACTTGGTGCGTCGCACCTGGTAGGGCAAATGGGAGTGCTTCCCCTGTAGGGCCCCTGGGATCAGTAGTTTTTGCACTGTTTAGAACACTGGGAGATATGACGTTAAATAAATACACCGCCCATTGCATTTCCAGTCTCATCACATCATGAACAATGTAAAGGAGAATACATATCCAACAGGAAAACATAAGTTGGGGTGTTGTGCTGACTGACAGCTCTGTTCTCCTATTGGCTGTTATTTGGTGTATTTACATTTTAGTCCACCAATCACAGTTAAGTAAGGGATTGCTGGACATATGCAATATGTGCCACTTGGTGCGCCGCACCTGGTAGGGCAAATGGGAGTGCTTCCCCTGTAG